TCTGCAATGCCCTAGGGGTATCAGGTATTAGTGACACGTTTAGTTAGGCCTAGGAAGGGATCCTGGTGGTAAGGAATCTCCTGTTTGGTAGGGATAATCATTTTGTAGTGATTGTTGTATATATATATTTCGTATGTCTTGTGTAATATAGTAATGTTAAGTAATATTTGTTTGGTCTAACTCCTTACAGTATATTTTCGCCCTTCCGGCATCACTCTTATTTTATTATACAATTACTTATTCCCTTAAATTCATGTTTGCTAATCATTACTCCCTTTAAAACATAAATTGAATTAATTAATTATCTTCCCTTTTGTGATTCACTTATTTCAACTGTTCTTACTTTTTCAAGTACATTTAGTTGAGTAGGTTTTTGGTGAGGATAATTATTGCCGTGTTCCCTGTTTGTACCTTTATTTGTTAATAACTTGGGGTAGGATTCACTCCCCAAGTATAAAGGATATTGGGATCGCGACAATCACCATATTTGTTACTAGTCAAAGTACCCGACTCCAAACCGTTTGCAGTAATCTACTCTTTTACAGCATATTTCTCTTTTATCTCTGAGCTTTTCATCATGCCAATAATCTTTGAGAGCTAAAAATTTTATCGTATTAAAAACAGATTAATATTGAGCTAAAATCAATTACTCCCTTTGTATTTCTTAATCAAAGCGCTGAGATCCCATAACTTCTTTTTACACAATTTATTCCAGTGTTTTATCTTTTTAATTTTTCAGAATATTATTATTGTTCAGCATATGTAAATTGTGGTTAAAAATAAAGTACATAGCTTCAGCATTTTTATTTTGTGACAACTTTTCTTAGTTTGCTCTTATTTCTAAATATCAGGTATTGAATACTGTAGAATATGATTTTAATGGAAAAATCCCAATTATGGATAAAGACTATTAGCCTACATATCGAAAACTAGCAGGATAGGTAGGCCTGTTGTTGCAATTGTTTTCATAGGCATCTCTTATATCTTAACGTGTTTGTACTGTCCATTCGTAAAGATAAGTTCTTTTAGAAAACTGATGAATCAAAATGAGATACTTCAACGTTATATCTGGGTAGAGAATTTCGGGTGATAGGAGAGAGAAATCCTTCCTGACTACGTGCAGAAAGAGGGAGGGGTATATTTAATATGCCAAATCTTAAAAAAGTAACACCCAAGGGCACATCTCCAAGGTCATCTCAGCATACATACTTGCACAGTTTCAAGTACTGTATATAGTTTTATCGTCTTGAGCTACAGCGCTCACACACACATTATTTATACACACACAGGGTCTTTAATTTTATTATAGCTGATATTTCTGATATTTGTCTATCAATTTCCTTGGATAAAAATTCCCTAACTGTCGTGAATGAAGCCTTTTTTTCTTTGATTAAATCAGCATTGTTGCCTTTCACTCTTTAGGGAAGGAAGGCTTATTTAATAATATAACAAGGGAGTGAGAGAGCCTGCGGGTAGTGACATGTTTAACAGAGTCCAGGAAGAAAGACATTATTTGATAGTGCAGAGCAACATAAATTTGATAGGTTCAGTGTAACACGTTAACCTGATTAAGCTGAACTTGTGAATGACCTTTAAAATGTTATGCTATTTATGGTCATCTCCTCCGCGTCTTCCTAGAACTGCTGATGTAATAGTTGAGTGTTGCTTATACAAACACTCGCTCTCAGGTAACAGCCAATAACAATAACTTAATTAAGTGATTATTTGATATATTGTACTGTAGAGTCGAGTATTTATGGTGTAATGTCGTTCAAGATACGTGAGAAGGTGTTATGTAGTCTATTTTATATGTGAGTATCTTTTAAGTTCATTTGGACAAGTGGGTGCATTTTAGTTAATTGAAATACGAGAATATGTCTTTTAAAATGCTGTTACGTCAGTCTCTGTTTTAATACACTATACATACGTGAGTAAGTGTTTTGGTTGATTTTAAGTTCATTCTACAATATACGGGAATATCTGATTTAGTTCATTCAAAGTACGTTAATATTCTTTTAGTTCATTTAGAATACATTGATATCTGTTTTCGTTCATTCTAAATACAGTATATGAATAAAAGCTTTAGTTCATCTGCGGTACATAAATGTATTTTGCCGTATAATGGAAGGTATGAATACTGTTTCTTATTTATTTAAATCGTTTTCTTTGGTACCAAATATTAGATGAGAGAAAATACAAATATTTTATTAAGGGGGTACTTATGAATATTTAAAGACGGAGTTGCGGGAGTATTTTTACATCGTCTGTTCTGTTTCTTGCTGTTCGACACACCCGTCATTCATCCACGTGTCCCACAAACACGTCAGTCATCCACCTGTTCCACACACCCATCATTCATCCACTTGTTCCACACACCTATCAATCATCCATCTGTTCCACACACCCGTCATCCACCAGCTCTACACACCTGTCATCCACCAACTCCACACACCTGTCATTCACCTGTTCCACACTCGTCATCCACCTGTTACACACATCCGTCATCCACCTGTTACACACATTCGTCATCCACCTGTTACACACACATCCGTCATCCACCTGTTCCATACACCCGTCAGTCATCCACCCGTTCCACACAACCGTCATCCACCTATGCCATACACGTCATCCACCTGTTCCACACATCCATCAGTCATCCACCTATTCCACACACCCGTCAGTCATCCACCTGTTCCACACACCCGTCAGTCATTCACCTGTTCCAGACACCCCTCAGTCATCCATCTGTTTCCCACACTCGTCATATACTGCCCATTCTGGGGTCACTAATCCTAAGGGGATAACTTAAATCTACTCTTAATTTTAAGGTCGCTGCCACCAGACCCCATGGACAGTATGTAGATAGGCATTGGTGTGGGTTTTTCATTGACCAAATCGAGAGTGGGAAGACTTAACTAATTTATTTCTTATAAAAACATATTGCATCCAATCACAATACAAAAAGAGTTGGGCTTCATCAGAAGAACCATTATTATGCTCATTACACTTCACATCAACATACGTCCTTCATCAAATAACTACTATTGACCTCCTTACCTCGGTCATTCCTTCTTACCATAACACCCAACACATCAGACTGCACCACCTATTAGAGTATAGCATCACATGTTATATTATAGCACCACATCTCAGGTACACTCCACACCTACAAGTATGGAACTCCTCGGTATTCTTCAGGTACACATACTAGGTACCTCGTTCACACTCTACTCTTGCGGAGTAGATGGGATACTTCCCAGGTAATCATACCAGTACTGGTTCCACGCCTGGTATCCTTAGGTCACTCCACGTGGCGACCGCGAAACTTCTCAAACACACAATTATGTTCTACTAAAATACGCTCATCCTTCCTTGCTACGAATACTTTGACATTTCAAACTCAAAGATTCAAAACTCTTCCTCCAACTCGCTCCATTTCTCTTTGACATAGCTCAAAGACCTACAACTCTCAGAACCAAATCAAACATACCCGACCTCTGTGACATCCAATCTCGATAAAATCGACCTAACTCAAGACTGAAACCAATCAACCTATATCTCATTCTCGTCTCCGTTCATAATTTGACAAAAAAGCTCAAATCTGTCTCCTGCTATTACTAAAAACTCTCCTACGATACGCTCATCCTTCCTTACTACAAATACTTTGACATTTCAAGCTCAAAGATTCAAAACCCTTCCTCCAACTCGCTCCGTTCCTCTTTGACATAGCTCAAAGACTTTACCTTCATCTTCCTCCAAACAACCCTACGACTAGCTACATTTCCATTTTTTCACCTTCTCTGTTACTTTGATCGTGTGTTGCCTGTGCGTCCGTCCACCTGCGCTTCTCGGCTTGCGCCGCCGCCGTGGCGGGGCGGTTCTTCCTCCGCTTTGCCAACACTGCCTAAGCTAAGACGACAACCAGAGCACCCGCGTTGGCCCTTTGCTTGCCCGGTCCTGCTCCCGCCCTCCCTCTGCCTCGTCCTGATTATGATTGTTACACCTACCGGGCACATTGCCTACCCCCTCACGCAAGCGGTGTTTAGCCACTGCACCTGTTCTCTCCTTCAAAAACTCACTTCTATCCTCCCTTTATCCTTCCCCTGAACCTCTTTCCCCCCTGTCACTAGCTTTTATGTATGTATGTATTCTGTAAAGTATTTGTCAAGTTACCGCAGTGCGCGGACATGACATCAGACGAACGAAGGACACACAATACTGTATTTGAGAAAGGGTGTTCTAAAAAAATCTGCCATAAGGAGGATATTTTCTTAACTCCATTATGATTAAAAAAATCATTGCAATGGAAAATTGAAATCCTCTATTGGTAAACCTGTTCTTCCACGAGAATTAGTGTATTCACAGTTGGTATATCGGAGCTTAAAAATGGTAAACAAACCAACGCTTTTACCACATTTACACGTTTTTTGTAGACTATTACGATAATATATAGAAACTTGTTGGGTTAATTTTCCTTTTATGCTCACTTCGGTGTTCATGTACAAGTTTAGCATAAAAATATTGGTAAATATTTGGCAGGAGACTTTTCCCGATTTCCAAGATGAAACCGCATTTTTCAATGGTGATAATCATTTAGTGAATTTTTTGAAGGCGGGGTACTCTCAAAAAGAACCTAAGTGTGTGGAGCACAGCAATTTCTGAGAGTACAGACTCCGATTAGGATATGCGCCGGTCAAACCATGGCAAACGATCTCGGTAAGTCTCGTTTTTATCAAACAGGGAAGTACTACCGCCTAGGAAGATGTTGGAAGTATGTGTTGTCTAATGGGAGACCCTGCTGCCATATGGCATCACAAAATTGTGACCTAATCCCAGGATGCTGAGTTGACTGACTTTCTGTCTCATTTACACAAGTGTCAGGCCCCATTGTTTCTCTGACTTTGACAACACAATATAAATATTGTTTCTCGCTCTTAATCTGTTTTATTTTTTCCATTTCTGTATTTATTTCTCGTGATTTTTTTCCTCCCCTTCCCCAGGCCCCGATGTGGGTCGGTGACCTGTGCCTGGGTGAGCTAACCCCCATTAATAATAATAATAATAATAATAATAATAATAATAATAATAATAATATTAATAATAATATTAATAATAATAATAATAATAATAATAATAATAATAATAATAATAATAATAATAATAATAATAATAATAATAATAATAATAATAATAATAATAATAATAATAATAATAACGCAATATGACATGCTGGTAATCTAAAAAATCAGCCGAAACTCCACCTACCATATTACAGGTATCTGCTCTTACTACAGGTCTCCATGTGACATCAATCTACACCTAGCTGCCAGTTCACCACAGAAGTACCACAGGTCACCAGGTACATTGACAGCCAAGACTTCAGGTTACCAGGTCCAGCATCAGCCAGGACTTCATCAGGTCCGGTGTCAGCCAGAACTTCAGGTCACCAAGTTCAGTAAACAAAAGCAGTGACGTCTTGTGCCTAGTGACTGTTTGACTCACAGTGAAATTATGCAATATTTAACATGTGCCACTTAACTACTACCAAGGTAAATGCATCATGGGAGAGACGTTTGATATTGTGTCAAGGAGCATAACAGTGACAGCCTGTTTGGGGCAGTACGGTTGAGCATTAACAAAGGGAGTAATAAATACTTAAGATGTCATATTAGAGGGATGGTTAGCTAACATAAAATCAAATAATCATGCGGGAAAGTTAACGAGTTCATACAAGTCAGTCTTATAAAGTTGACTTATTATCAAAACCTTAAAGACCAAGGTTAGTTGACGAGTAATTTTCTAAGTTGTCCTTGAAAGTGCTGTCGGTATGTGACATATTTTCCTCCACCATATAAAACGAAAACAAAAAACAATGAATTTTTATCTTTAACTGCAATATATAAATTCACTCGTATTTTAATCAAAGTTTATTTACTTTGGGATGGGCCTTTTTATGTGTTTATGAGTACCTATCATGACGTAACGACAAACCAAAGTGCTGTAGTTTTTAAGATGATTTTTTTTTTTGCAAAATAAATCTGAAAATTTGTTTTATTGAAATAAACAAAAAACTTTAAAAATATCTGGGATTGACCATAAGTTGTCTTACTCCTGTTTTTGGTTTACATTGTTTCTTGTTTCTTTTGCTTGGCTACTGAGCGCCTTGCTGACCATGATGAAATCAGTAATTACATTTCACTTCTTGAAATTCAGTAAAAGATCAATAATATTTTAGTTTTATACATCATTTATTTTACTTCATCCTTTCATATCATTCCTAACCCTTAATGAAAGTTGAGAGGTAGATGTCAGGAATTCTGGAATAGTAGTTTATGCTTATATAAATTATTAGTGAAAGAACTGCAAACCCCGTGGTAATGCGCGAAGTAGAAATACGAGGCCCTACTGCACCGCAGTCAACAAGCGCGTAGTCCATGCTCTAATTCAATGGCGGGCCCTGGTATAAGAAAATAACTAAGGTATTGTAGTAGATTTAAACCATGTTACTAACCGTTAATTAACGACTGTGGTTGTCGAATGCTGTCCTAGTAATATTATGCTATAACTAGAGGATTCTTTTATACCACCTTAAAATGTAATGGCCAAAACAATATCCAAACTAAATCGTACCTGTATATTAGCTCGGTGACAATATTCAGTCAGCAGTAGTTTGGGCATATGTATTAAAATGGGGTCATTTCTAAATTAAATCAAACCTAACCTTAGTTCATAAAAATCACAAGCGGCCGAAGCATTGTTATAAGACCGCACCAACTACCAAGGAAACCTACTTAACCTTAGCTAACTTCCTAGCCGGGGAGGGGCGGAAGGCATATTAAACAAGAAAAACTTACGAGTAATAGAAGCTGTTGGTAGCGAAAGTCAGAGCGGGGAAGATGACAGAGGAAGAAGCAGGGGATTAGGAAGGAAATTGTAGTGGGAGAGATAGAGCCGTGGCTTGACACGACATGCGTTATATTTGATTTAGCGCAGAGCGCACGAATTGTTTTTTTTGTCTGTATTGGGTGTGTGATCCTCGGGTCACCATTACTCCGGATTGTGTTAGATACGAGTAATAGAAGCTCCAACAACTTTCCCTGAATACGAATTCGCAACTTTTCGATTTACAACAGGTACCTACCTACTGCTAGGTGAACAGGGACCAAGGGGGCTAGGAAGAGTGTCCAAACAACTTTCCGCCGGCCCGGGAATCGAACCGGTGACATCTCGCTTGCGAGGCAAAGGCGGTACCGCTCTACCACAAAACTTAGATAGATGTGAGTAATAGAAGCTCGAAAGTACTATGATATGGTGTATTTGTAGGGGTTTTGTGGACGTGAGAGAAGCCCTTCGGACCGAGTGGCTCATAAACTAAACAATGGGCAAAGGACAAAATCGAACCGTTATATCTCCGCGAATGACGAAGAGAAGTGCCACTAATGCGAGCCTGGGGGCCTAATTATCTACCAAACGAAACTTTTTGTCAAGAAATGAATATCATTTTCAATCTCAGTGGGCGCCGTCTTACAGCAGGAGATCAACGGAATTTTCATGCCCGTTGCTTTTCTTCTCCTAGCAGCTAGCCACACACACCTCAAGTACATGCTTTTTGATCGAGAACTCCTGGCCACTTATACTTGGCTGTCAAACATTCCAACCTTACTTCCTCGGGCCCGTCAATTCACCATCTTCACACAGTCGCAAGCTTCGTCCACGCCTTCGCTTCAACTTCCAGTCACGCCACACCTCGTATACCGCGCCACTTGGCTTACATCTCAGGTTCTCCAGCGTCCAGCACGATAAAAGGCAATACAACAGGGAATCGCCAGCGCCCTCTCTCGTTGTATATCACCATTCTTCCTCATCTCCACCCATTGATTATGGAGCAGCTAGCAGCGGCTCAAAGAGAAAAGACAGACCTGGCAGCATACCAAGACTTATCCCCCTCGGGCCTCATACTCCAAGAACTCCCTGTTCTGGCACAAAGATAAAATTGTGGTGCGGCGTATCCTGTGGACAGCCTAGACCGTTCGTGCCTCACATCCACCGCCTTGTTTCTGACCGCATCCATGGTCTAGCCACCCGGGTGTGCGGGCCTCCTTACCTCCTCCGCAACGTGTAGTCTGGCCCGGCATCAAGTCTGATGCTAAGAAATGGAGCTGCCCAGTGCCTGGCCTGCCAGTCCTCAAAATACATCGTCACATGCAGGCCCCTTACAAGCCTTTCCTGTTCCCCAAAGAACGTTTCAAGTAGTACACCTCGACATCGTGGGACCTCTACCATCATCCTACGGTAGCACCTACATCTTCACCTGCATCGACCGTTTCACCAGGTGGACAAAGCAGATCCCATGCCCAACACTTTGTAGAGACTACTCTCCGCTTCATGTCGATTGGGTTTCCGTTTCAGCCCCCACCAGCCGTAATCACTGACCGAGGAGTACCAGTTTGAGTCTAACTCTGTAGCACCTCCTACAGGTTTATAACGTCCTGGACCTTGCTTGCTACAGCATACCACCCTCAAGCCAACGGCATGGTGAGAGCGTTTTCACCGGCAGCTGAAGGACGCACTCAAGGCACAGCACGACCCTTACAGCTGGACTGATGCGCTTCCCTTGTGCTCCTCGGCATCCGTGCGTCACACAAGGAGGATATGGACTGTAGCCCAGCAGATCTGACACTGAAGGCCCCTTCGGCTGCCAGGGATTTCTCACTCCCTCCTGATCTCAACCAAACCACTCCAGCCGTTCGTCACGACTTACTCAAAAAAGCTTCACGACAAGCGGTTTTCTGCATTCAGAGCTACTGCTCACGCCAAGCTACAAAGCGCCTGAACACATCCTCCTGCACTACTCACAGCCGAGTATGTTTCGTCAGGCATGATGATGCTCCACCGCAACCCATTACAACGCCCCTACGATGGACCCTTCCAGGTGGTTACCCGTTCAGCAAAGTTCTGACAATTATCCGGAATAGCAGACATGACACCGTCATGGAGCCGAGTCAAACCGGCCGCCTTGCATGGGCCCCAGCCCAGCAGCACCATCAACAAACTACGCCTGCACCAGTCTACCCCGCAGTTACCACCGGCGCACTTACCACGCCCGACATTTCTGGGCACCTCTTTTCACCCTCATGTACAACCTGCTCCTGTCATGGGGCTAGACCTGTAGCCAGACCTCTCCCTTCTATCATAGAACCTGCTCCTGCCATGGACCCTCCTCCTGACGCAGCCCCTGCAGCAGCAGGAGCACAACAACCATTGCTTGTACAACCTCCTCTAATCCCAAACCCTCTTTCTCCTCCTAATTCTCCCACAGGTTTTGTGTCACTGGACGGAGTTGTTACACGTAGCGGTCGAGTCGTACATACACCTGCCCGGTATGTGTTATGTGTGGGACACAACCCGGACAACATCCAGCCTCCCGCCGCGCCGGGAGGGGAGGGGGAGTATTGTAGTGGACGTCTCCCCTACAACTGCGTATCGCATTCCGACGCGCCGCCGTATCCTAGCAACCAAGCGAGAGCTGACACCAGATGGTACGGTAACCTAGCAACGAAACTAGACACCGGCGACTTTCTGGGTTTTCCCAACATGATTCATAGAGGACTGGCGGCTGCTGCTGGGTATATAAGCTCTGTCTCTCCATTGAGATTCATTCTGCCCATCTTCCTGAACAAGCAACACCTCCTCCAGCAAGCTCCACGCTGTCAGCATTCATTCAACCAGGAGGCCAGCAACAGGCAACATCTTCTCTAACGAAGCTCCTGCACATCTACCTCCTTCATCACGCTACTCACCGAACGTCTCTACTGAGCAGCTACTCACCACACGGCACCTCCAGCACCAGACTGTCTATCATATAACTTATATTATACAAGAAAACCACCTTAGAGTTTCCATCCATCCTGAGTGCTAGACAACATTATACCACGAATTCCTACAGTCTACTTAGTCTCTTTGCCTAATTGTCGCCATGTTAGTAGTGTTCCCCAGTGGGAAGTGATTGTGAGGAAACTGTGGACAGTACAAGTTAATAATATACTAAATAAATGTATTATTATTCATATTTAAGTATAACATACTCGTGATGATGATAATAATAATACCGTATATCTGTATATCTTAGTGATAAACCAAAACACACACACACACACACATATATATATATATATATATATATATATATATATATATATATATATATATATATATATATATATATATATGTGTGTGTGTATGTGTGTGTGTGTGATATAAAAATAATGTTATTACTTTAGAACCTTTCGTCTTGTAATTGTTTTATTCCTGTATATTTGATTATTCATATTGTACGATCTACTTCCGTTTCTTATATTATATAATAATAATTCTGCACATAACTGTAGCAAAATGGTACCATTTCAACACAAAAGGTAAATTATGAGTTTCCTTAATAGAGAGAGAGATAGGGCGTATCAAGTTATGAAACTATCTCCTCCTTTTAACCACTCCTCTTTCATTACTTCTATTAATCGTTGTAAGGCTATTCTTCGTAGGGCCAAGCGGAATTTTATAAAAATAAAAACCGCTGACCTGACTAGCTCTTCTTTTAAATCCTTCTGGTTCTTAAACAAAAATACTCTATAATAACTTTTGCACTCCCTCTTTTCCTCCTCTCTTCCCACCTGATAACTCTATCGCCAACTCTCTCCCTGATAAAGCCATCTCTTGAATTGAAACAGAATTTAATTGAAACAGCTTATTTAGCCAGAAAAACACTAATACAGAGTGGATAATAATAACAATATTAACATGGCTGAGCCAGTTGAGAACCTGGGCTCTCTTTTAGGCATCTGATATATACTATATATTTATCTCCAGGAAGTATTATGTAACATTTAGTATCATCTGGAATAGTACAATAGCATGGTGGTAATAAGAACATCTCATAATGTTACCACGGTTATCATTTCAATATTTATTAATTATATATATATATATATATATATATATATATATATATATATATATATATATATATATATATATATATATATATATATATATATATATATATATATATAGGAGAGAAGGATAATTACAAGGAAAGAAACACGGTTCTTAAGGGAACTTCGTGTTTTCTTTCTTGTGCCATCAGCATACCCAGATCACGCGCACTCACATTGATTTATATATATATATATATATATATATATATATATATATATATATATATATATATATATATATATATATAATATATATATATATATAATATATATATATATATATATATATATATATATATATGTATATATATACATAAATTACAGTGGAATTGAAAACATAAGTATAATGGGGGAGCAGTACAACATGGGTTGTACAGTAATAAGGTTGAACAAGAGGACAGAGCTGTCAGGATTATGTCTAGTTGGCAATTATGTTTATTGCAATGATAATTACTTATCTATTTACATGATAATTTCCTATAAAATGGTTTTGATGGTACAATAAAAGCAGGTACTGTAAATATAGTAGGTGTTACAAGAAATATTAATAGTTAGACAATAGATATTTTTTAAGAGATGATTTAGTGGAAGGGAGCGTAGTCTTTGCTCGGATTTGTGGGGGTAAGTTGTTCCATACCTTCATACCATGATATTTTATGGAGGCCTGGGACTGAGAGGAGCGCATGGGGGTGGTCTTAGTAGCTCTGGGTGCCTTTGGCACCATATTTTCCTCTAACTCCACCTTAGAAGATTCCAACTCTATCCCTCCTACTCCTGCTCCTGAATCTATGCACTTTCCTATAATCTCCGCTCGTAGGGTTGCTTGTGTGTTATCAGGATTGGAGGTGAGTAAGGAGCATGGACCGGACGGAATACCCACTCCTGTTCTGAGAGAGCATGCTGAAATTCTTGCCCGCGTGCTTACTCGCCTCTTTCGCCTTTGCCTCAAAACACAAACTTTTCCTCCTTGGAAGCATACCTCTGACTATCGCCCCATTGCTCTAACTTCAATCCTCTCTAATATTTTCAAAACTATCTTAAACTCTCATTTTCTCCGTCACCTTGAACGCCTTTCTCTTTTGTCGGATCACCAGTATGGATTTTGCCAGGCGAGATCTACTGGTGATCTGCTCTCCTACTGCAACTATATTTGGACATCCTCTCAGGGATTATGGGGAAACTTTCGTCGTGGCCCTTGACATCTCCAAAGCATTTGACGGGGTATAGCACAAGTCTTTGCTTTCTAAACTTTCCTCTTATGGTGTTTCTCCACCACTTTGTTTTAGTTTGCTTGAGAACCGATCCATGGCAGTTGTTGTCGAGGGATCGATCTCTCGCTCTTTTTCTACCAATAGTGATATCCCACAGGGTTCTGTTCTTTCACCTACTCTCTTCTCTCTTTTTATCAATGATTTGCTTTATACTACGACTAATTCTATCCATTCTTACCCTGATGATTCTACTCTTCACTCTTCTTCACATTTATCACTTCTCCCTAATTCTCAAACTAGATTTTTTTCTGGAGCTGATATCATATCATCTATCAATGCGGATCTGTACAGAATCTCCGAATAGAGAGGTAGAAATTTGGTTAAACTCAATTCTAATAAAACTCAGGATATATCAATTTACTTTTCAAATTAGATGATCTCCCACCAATGACATTTTAGGTCGCAATTATTCTGTCAAATTATAAATTAGATATGTTAGGCCTCACCATTTCCTCTAATATGTCATGGAAACCACACATTCACAATATTGCTAAAGCTGCCTCCCGAAAGTTGGGAATGCTGTACACAGATAGGGTGGAATCAAACGGCTTTCTATTAACTCTCCTTTTAGTTGATAACAAGTGATCGTGGGCCCTTCTTGCCCGGTGGCGAGTCTGGTTGTACAGTTTACCGAGGCGTGAAAGTTCGAACGCTCGTGCTTGGCTAGTGAACAACCGCCGTCCGGCTGACAGCGTACAGCCACATCGTTTTCCTGATGGTCGTGGTTGTTATAATCATGGTCGTGGTTGTTATAATCACGGTCGTGGTTGTAATAATCATGGTCGTGGATGTTATAATCATGGTCGTGGTTGTTATAATCATGGTCGTGGTTGTTATAATCATGGTCGGTTATTATAATCATGGTCGTAAGATATAATCATAGCTCGGTTGTTATAATCATGGTTGTGGTTGTTATAATCATGTTCTTAGTTGTTACAACTTGCGGTCGTATGTTATAATCATGGTCGTGCTGTTATAATCATAATGGCTGTTATAATCATAGTCGTAATGTTTATAATCATGGTCGTATATATGACTCATAGTCGGCTATATGATCATAGTCGTGGTTGTTATAATTATGGGTCATATATATATATATATATATAAGCTGTTATGTAAATCATATAAATTTAATTGTGAAATGTTACCAGCGTTTTCTTTTCCTTGGTACATAACCTTGAAGCACAAATATATTTTTGTTTTATTTTAAGTGTTGATGTCATGTGAGGACCTTCATTACAGCAATACCTGTTTATGTTCTGCAACCACTACCTTCCGCCACAAGAGGAGGGAAATATAGTTACTTGTTCGTGGCCTTACATAATATTTATTATATATAATAAACGATTACATTGGAAATTCTGAAGGAATTTGTGTTCAAGTGTGGAGATAGTTGTTAACAATGACCAAACTGATGTTGGTAGAAATACAATCACAACTACAATATGCAATAGTATAAACTTACCGAAAATATCAGTTTATTTTAAGGATAAGCAGGAAATTTAATTACAATATTGATAAGAAATTTAAAAGATTATGCGAATGTCCTGACTCAACACCTCATAACCACTGTAACATCAACTTTGCAAAGTCTTATTCATGCAAAATTTATTTGTTTTCGAACACAAATGCCTCGGTTTCAAATTCAAACTGTATATGAATATAATGCCCGAATAACACAAGGTTCTTCATTTAATATCCTGCCGTTGATTGGTTATATATATGAAATAAGTAATAATTATAGAAAAATAGCCATTAGTGATACTGGGTGATGCCGCCGTGTGTGTGATGTTGTGTCTTTCTCTCCTTCTGTTCTTCCTTTAGTTTTCTCTCTAAATCATTTTGTCATCTTCATTGAAATATGATTCTATTTTTAGCACATTCTTTCTTTATTCGTTATTCTGCATGCCTTACTCCGTTTATCATTCTATCTTGTTTCTATTATGTTCATTTTTGTTTCGATTTTTCTTTCTTCTCTGTCGCTCACATAACCTTCCTCCTCTAATGTGATCGTTTACATTCTTCTCTTTCTTTTTGCCTTTTAAAATCCCTGCATCACCATTATCTTGACCTCCTTTATTTACTTAATCACCTCATTCTTCTCTACCCCTTATCCACATCTAAACGCGCTTCAATTACTGTAATGTCATTAATTAGTCCTCATTAGTTACACGATTCAAATTTCCATCACAAAATTACACGTACAGCTTAGCCTCGGATTCTGACAGTAGTTGCTATCTATATTTCAAATACTGTATAGTCTCTTCGTTTGTCTACCCTGTGATATATTTATCCACACTCTTTTCTTCTGGTTTCCTGTTTTTCGTTTTTTTTCCTTCTTTAGACATACTAGTTCAGTGGTGAAAAATTTCATATTTATCAAAATTTTTCCTCTCTGTCTCCCGTTTTATATTTATGCAGCATTAGTTTCCTCTGATTTGCTGCTTTTCATTTAGTTTCCTTCTTCAGACGAAGTTCAGCGGCGCCAAGTTCATGTCTATCCATGATTTGTAGTGCGTGACGCGGGTGAAAACAGCTGGAAGACCCACATTTGTACAGAGTGGGAACCCGAAGCTCACCACACCGATCTGGGAACACTGAACACCTGTACACACTACCAGTGGTCCCCCGGAGTCTCCCTGTAGGGGGAGATAAAGTATATTAATTTCGCTACAACGGTACAGGTACAAAAATAATGATACAGTTAATTGCAAATACAGGAACAGAATTAGCAGCAGTTATCAATACAGGTATGGAACCAACAGTTACGAATACAGGTACAGAAGCAGCATCTTATACATTTAACAATCTTACATATTAACTTGAAAATTATGGTAAGTTAGTCGTTTAAAAGATAAATGTATTTTATAGGTATTGTCGAGCTGTAAATTTTTAAGTTGTATCTAATACTCATATAAGCATAATCGATTGAAAATAATGGAAAATATTAATGTAATCAAAATATCTACACAAAACTTAAAACCCATATGCCCGGATCAGTGCTAAGTTAGACCAAGCAATGAGTTTATTAACCAAGGTGGAGGTACAGAATAATCGACCAATCACAGAGCAAATGGCCGGTTATAACTACCAATGCACCAAGTAATATTTTTCCCACATTTTTTTTCCCCGCCCTGGAGAAAGAATTTAGTAAAGTCACCGCCAACCAGACATGTGTGGCAGGGAAGGTGGGGAGTGAGGAACAGTCTATCTCTGCCTCTCTCAGCTCACATTTGTGGTGTTATGCATCTAGTGTGGCAGCATTATGTTAGTGTTAAGGTGAAAGCACTGCTTACTTCCTCTCGCTTTCAGCTACCGCCGCTGGCTAGCTTTCGTGGCGAACAGGAAAGCAACTTGCACAAGTTTTCCCCTGCCAGTACACAGCCTCTTTCCTACTAACACTCATGTTGTGCCTCCTTGTGGCAACACACGGTAACTGGGTGCCTCGTGGGCCCAGGCTAGACCAACAGGGGATTTTGGAGTCGCAGTGGGCGCCAGAGGGAAGGTGCTTAGACCCACTGGCATGTGAACACGTCCTGGCGCTTACCAACCACTACCTGGTTGCCATGCGGATTAACCTTGGTAGGTATAAGGCTACGGGAGTAAACCCTGAACAAAAAATCTGCAGTGGAACCCGCATCAGGCAGACTTTTTTTTTTAAGGGGTAATAGCCAACCCGGGCACAGGTCATCAAACCATGTTTGTAAAGTGAAAGTTTTGATTGAATATGGGATAAATGCACTCATACCACCCTGGATAACCCGAGCAATGCTGTCAGCACATACCGAGGCGTCCCGAGTGGAAAAGCAAGATTCATCCCAAGGCGGTCGAGAGAGGCATAAAAGTGATGACTGAAGCTTGCACTGAAGTGACGGGATACGAATCGAGAGATGGATATATTAGGCAAAGATTATTGTCTAGGAAAATGATGCCAAGGTTCCGCACAAAAAAGAATTTCAATATGAACTTGTAATGATTTTCTATACGGTGTACCTGTAAAATAACATGTGAATTAAATCGATGTCACCCATGTAAAATTTATCATTATCCTGGAAAACATTAAATGACACCTAATTTTTGGTATACACTAAAAGTTGACAAAAAGTCGTTCGCGATGCGGCATGAAATTTTGCACAGGTGTTTGTTACAGCCATACAAACGATGCCTGAAAAGTGCAGCCTGCAACTCAAATAAAAGTGTTTTTTCCCTGCCCCCTATTGTACTGTATATATGTCACGGGTTGTGTTTCCATTACCTGATTTCACTAACTAGATTGTGATTATCCAGCGTTGGATGAACTAATATTTATGAGAAAGACTTCAAGATTGACACGAGAGGCAATTTGTTGCCTTTCGCTGCCATGAATGACGCCCGAGAAATGTAAAGGTAATCGACAAGAGCTTTCTTACGTGCTGCTCCTATTATCATACCAACCGATGAATGTTTGATGGCGTGAAGGTGTGTGTGTGTGCTATTATACACCATATTTAGCATCGTGAGCCACACGATGCTAAATATGGTATATAAAAGGAAGTAAAGAGAAAGTCAGCTCTTCAGAGTGAATTTTGCAGCAAAATGTATATAGAAAGGTTAAGAGAACATATTTTGCAGCAAGATTTTATGAAAACACTAAAAGAAAATGTCTTACAATAAAATAAATATGAAAGTTTTGTAAGGTGTCACGTTAGTTGATGTAAGTTATAAAAACTATCCCGGATTGTATTAAACTGACCATAAAATAATAATGATTACTGTACATGTGTAGGTGGCCTCCTGACGCGGGTGTGACATTTAGTGTCCCACTGGGTTAATTAATAAACAAGTACAAAGTTCGCCTCGGAAAGTTACATATAAATACAGAGGGATTCCATCTATATGTATTAAATAGTTTGTGCTAAGTTTTGGGTGAGGGAAATTTTAGCAAATTCAGGAAAGCTCCGAAACCTGCTTTAGTCAGTGAAAATACGCCAAATATTCACATTTTTCTTCATAGTGTGTTCAGTATTCAATTTCAAATATTTATTAAATTTTCTCGTTATTTTAATAATAATTATTCACATTAGTTGAATATGCAAAACATAATTCAAAACTTTTTAATGGGTGTTTTTCTATGCTTCCCCCATGAGTGACTGATACTTTAATGAATTATCTCCGTTATTGGGGGGTTTATAACAGACAGTTAACGTTATAGGTCAAAATGTCGTCACTTTATCACTGAGACTTTATTATAAGTATGTAACAAAATACCTTCTTGCATAAGTTACGCGTAATAGTGAACAAAGAATTTTTTTGAGGATAAGATGTGATAGTTGTTGTATTTTGTTTTTCCCTTAAACCATCTAAATTACCTCATGTTCATGTTAAATATTTGCATTGTTGTACTATTTTTTACGAGTATTTTTTTTTTTTTTTTGCTTTTTGTCACACTGTTTTTTTCTAAAAAAATTTCCTATACGTATTGTGCACTTCTATTATATGTTTATATGTACGTTTTTATATTTTTCGTTACGGATGATTTTAATTATCTTATACCGGTTCCCTTAATTTCTTTTATTTCTATTCATCATTACTATTTCACCACTTCATCATCTTTCTTCTTTAGACTATATTTCTTTCTGGTCAGTTTCTACACAAATCAAGTATAGTTCACATCACAACTCCTGCAGGGAGGAAGGCGGCCAGTCAACCCCCGTCAATTATCACTTCTGCAGTTTACATGAGAAATAGATCCAGACCATAAAATCACTTAACGTTTTCAATCACACCCAATCAACCGTGTGTTCTGAACAATATTCAGCCACGAATTGTGATGCATAAAATATAAAGATGTTACAATCAAACCTAATAAAATATTGATGTATCTGACTAACCAACTTCTGATCATCCAAACTCGTTGAACAAGACTGTAAATACAATTCTGTCCTGGTGAAGGTTAAAGAATATAGCAATTTAAAATGCAAAAGAAAAAGAAAAAACAGAATATGGCTAAACCCTTTGAGGACGTTGTTTAGCTTTCTGAGGACAATGGCTTAACACTTTGAGAACGACGACCTTATCTTTTGAGGATATTTATTTAACCTTTGAGGACGATGATTTCAGCCCATTGAGGATGATGAATTCAATCTTTGAAGTCGATGATTTCAAGAGGTTAAGAATACTGACATACTATTTATTCAATTAAAAGAAGAATATCAAATAAAGTCAAAACATATTTCAATACCACATTTACCTCAGAATTACTGAAAAGGTCAAACAATCAATCCGATCAATTACTTCATAAGAAAAAGAATTATAATCTGACACGTTGACATAGAAGAGCTTCGACCTTTTCGCGAACAGAGCATTTCGGTAAGTTTTCTTTTTTTCTGCAATTATTGAGAAAGTTTTAAAGTCATGGACAGAAAAGATTATTGAAATGACAGTAAAAGTAGTTTATTATCGATTAAGTGATGAGTCTGAGTGTTGGGAGAAGGTGAAGGCAGAAATATAATCACTATAAGAAACATTTAGTGTTTTGTGTTGACAGTTGTTGAAAGTTTTCATTCTTGTTATTATTTGTTACTGGGACTGTTGTCGAACTTCTTTGGGTTTCGTTATCTTAATTTTATTTAGCATTTTCTAAAGCTTTTCTCTTGGTTGCCTGTCTGTGCGTACATCCTTGACAGACTGAATTTTTCATGTAGTATTATCGACCACGGAGAGTACACTAGCTATAAACCATTTACATAATATGTCCCACAAGTAGATTATATATATATATATATATATATATATATATATATATATATATATATATATATATATATATATATATATATATATATATATATATATATATATATATATATTTACACAGTAGTACATTACCAAGTGTCCAGGGAATTTTTGACACAATTATTGCATAACAACACAAGTTTGAATTAATTTACACATTCTGTGAACCTAATGGTAACTATGTGAAGGTAAATAACATGTAATCAATCACTGAAAGACTTACAGTTCTCTACTTACAATTACGGCCTGGCTGTCAATTACGGCCTGACTGTCAAGTACGACCTGACTGTCAATTACTACCTGACTGTCAATTATGGCCTAATCGTCTACTGTAATTATCGCCAAGTTCAGACACGCAAACTGTCATCATCATTAATGCAACAACCCGCCCACACGTAACACAGGCTCGCTGGTTTTGAAGAGTTGTGTCACATCTATTACATGATTCATTTGATTTACATTTGTTCTTTTTTTTTTTAGCTTTTGGGGAATAATTAGCTTCGACAACTACCATATGTTTTGTTTAGAGCTTCATTTCGTCAACATGAACGCAAGAATATTAAATTTGTGAACGTTGAATAAATAAGATCATGTCCTTCACTCAGGTTTATTTAAGATTCAACAAAAAAGGTGAAATTATTGTGGGTTTCGTGTTAGTACTATTAAATTCTGTCGTCGTCGTAGATGGTGGCAGACCGTAGTAGATTATGGAAGGCCAAGGCAGCCCTTACTAGAATAAAGCAAGTCGTAAAAGGCCGTAGCGGACTATTTGGCAGGCTGATAGACCGTAACAGGTCGTAGTGAGCCACGACTGGCAAGCCATGGTTGACCGTAATGAACCATGGCAGGCCGCAGTAGACCACTAACAGGCAATGTAGATGGTGGCAGACCGTAATGAATCCTGCCACTGTGGTAGACCATTGGTTTGTTGTGGTAGATCGTGACAGACCGCAAAAGACCATGTCAGTCGACAGTAGACCGTGACAGACATATAGACGATATATTTATATTGGGACACTCAATGCCGTTGCAAGTGGCCGCCGTCGGTTATAACTATGATGGTGATTTACTGTTTTGGTATATACTGTCCATGTGTGTTTTTCTTCTGAAATAGATTTTACTTTAAAACATCTTTAGTAATTTAATAAACATAGTTGTATATTTAATTTAATTTAATTTGGATGTCTTTTTGGTTCGTAATCGACTCAAAGATTTGTTAAATTATATTTTTTCACATACCTGTGCCTGTGCCTGTACCGTGTGTACATTAAGCAATTGAATTAAAGTTCTTATTAATCTTAGCAGTTGTCTTATCTTTTTCAACTATCGGATGTTGAATATGACACAAAAGAGACTTACCTAACCTAACTTAACGTTACTACCTAACCTAATATAACTTAACCCAACCTAGCAACTTAACTTTACCTAAAAACCTAATCTAACACAACCCAATAACTTTACCTTATTTTACCTTACTTAACCTTACTACCAAACCCTATCTACCTTAACCTAACCTAACCACCTACACCAATTTATCCTTAAAACCTAACCTAACCTAACCTAACAGCCTAACTTAACTTTACTACCTAACCTAACCTAACCTAATCTTACATAATTTAACCTATCCTACCTTAATCTAACTTAACTCAAACTAACATAACCCAACTGGAAGTAACCTAACATAACTTAACCTAATTTTAACTTAACCTAACAAAACTTACCCTAACCTAGCCTAACTCAATCTAAGCTAACCTAACCTATGTAAACCTAATCTAACCTAACTGTCGCTGGTAGCCTTAAGATGTCTGATTTTAAGGTGAAATAAGCTGGTATCAAATCTTCAGGTGAAATAAGTTGGTGTCCAATCTTCAGGTGAAATAAGGTGACACGTCTGATCTTCAGATAAAAATAAGCTGAGGTGTCTATTCTTCAGGTGAATTAAGTTAGTTCGTCTAATCTTCAGATGAAATTAGCTAGGGTGTCTAATCTTCATGAGATCCACCCTAAGCTACCTAATAATAATAATAATAATAATAATAATAAAAATATTAATGTACAGAACTCACATGACAGGGTGTACCCATGGTCACATTGAGACACACGTGGTTGATGTAGGAGGCGTTGATACCAGGGAACTTATTCCAAGCTTGGACGCAGAGAGTGGTGTTGACGAGAGGGGCCGTGTGCTCCTTCATGATGGTGCTGGTCGTCTTGGATTTGCTGGTGTATCGACCCCAGCCTGTGATGGTCGCATTGGCTTTCTCGTACCTCTCAGCTGTGGGGTTAAAGATGGGTACTGAGGTTATATAAGGGGTCAAAGTGGGTACTGTGTCATCTATGGGCTTAGGACAGGTGTATATATATATATATATACTATAATAAGTCGTCAAAAAGAGCACTGTCATATATGAGGTCAACGTGAGTACTGTATTATATATGAAGTACTGAGTTATATATGAGAAGTCACGACAGATCATTAGGTAGGTCAGTGAATATAACACAGCAGGATAAGTATACTTAGGTCAGTGGGTACCTACAAACACAGCAATGGTACGTACTTCAGTCAGCGGATACCTACCGTCAATGCAGAGTCCGTACTTAGGTCAGTGGGTACCTACAAACACAGCAGGGTACGTACTTATGTCAGAGGGTACCTACCGTCACTGCAGAGTACATACTTGGGTCATAGGGTACCTACCGTTACTGCAGGGTACGTTTTTAGGTCAGTGGGTACCTACAAACACAGCAGGGTACGTACTTATGTCAGTGAATACCTACAAACACAACAGAGTTCGTACTTAGGTCAGTGGGCAGCTTGACGGCGCTAACGCTATACGAGAAGTCGACCGGGTTCTCCAACTCGATCACGGCGATGTCGTTGACGGTGGAGTGAGGGTTGTAATGCAGATGCCAGTGGATAGTCTTGACCTGACCATTGCCAAAAACAAATGTCAGGTCGGCCAGGTTGGTTCAGGAGGTCACGACAATGTTATCCAGTGAGCGTTGTTGTTGTAGTAAGCGGAGAAAATATGTTAATAATTTACATCATGATACAACCATTGATTAAATGACAGCATATTGCATTCGTAAGTGTATGCTATTAAAGTAATAGATATATTACTATTGTGTGCATATTGTTGATACTACAAGAATATTAATTATTAAGATTAACTTGATATACGAAAGCTCATTGTTTTTGCTGATATATCGGCCATAAACTGTGCCGGAAAACGCCAAAAAAAGAAACTATATGTTTATTCATTTGTAAATAACATTTCCCATTTAATAATAATCTCAATTCTAACGTCTTTCAAACAAGAATAAATAACTTTTGGGGGAATACAAGTGGTCCTCAAATATCACTCTCCGACATTTATTGTGATTTGTCAACTGGTGAAGTGACGTCACCGATCAAAGTTCATAGTAAAGTTTTCTATATTTTTGGTAGTATAGAAATTGGCGTCAACAAAGCGTTTTCTTCAATAATTATTCTACAGTATACAGTATATAAAATGTACCGCAGCTTCAACTATCTTATACCCTGTACAGTATAACTTTATATTACAGACAAGGTGTTGTTATTGTCAAGCATTCGTTACAATATACTTCATTAAAATAAATATTATATATAAGTAACATAATTCAATCATATACTTCAATAACATACTCTAATAACATACTTTTATGATATACTTTAATTATATTCTTCAAACAGACTTCCTTCCCACGAGCCAACTGTAGTCTGGGTTAAGACGACATATAAATAAAATAATAAACAATAAATTAATTAACAAAGCAAAATAATTGTGAGACTATGAAGATGGTGTGAAGCCTTACCTTGTGTGGTGTATCGTTCCAAAAAGTATCTTTGTGATTTTGTAAGACAATATGACAACGAACGCAGGATTTAGACAACCCTACCGTAAAGATATTTTTGGGAGCATGTAGGATAGAGGCTTCCCTGCCCGTACACCATGTACAGATAGATATACAGATAATCAGAAAGATCGTCCCTTGATGTTCGTTCTTACACATTAATATATTCACCATAGATTTCTTTACATGATAGGATTTCGTCACCTTATCAACTGCGCTGTATGGCTTAAAAGCACCTGAGGATTTGAAAAACTTAACAAAACAACGATGTATGCTTTATTGTTAATCCTTCAAATATTAAAGAAAACGTCCCAGCAAAAATGAACTGAGAATGGTTTAGCAAATCTCAAGTGTTCATGAAGAGGTTAATCTGTAAACGTACACACCAAGGGACTTTGTAAACACGAGCTGTAATGGGCTTAAGTATGTGATCTTTACTGACCTTTGACACGATGTTCTTGGTTTCGTTACGTGTGGCGAGGTCGTGGTCACCAAGACTCACCCTTAATTTGTCTAAACCCCGTGAGAAGCTCCTGTGGGTGAAGTGAGGTTTATTATAGTACTGTGGATGGGTGAGAGTGTGAGTATGGGTGGTTGATTATGGGGCTAGTGAGTAAATGCGTTCATGAGGGAGAGGGTAATGGTTGACGGTGGTCCAGCAGTACCAGCAGTGGACTACAGTATAAACAATGGACCACAGTACCGGCAACGGTCCAGCAGTAGATCAATGTGACGTGAGTTAATGAAAGGCCAGTGGGGGAGGACACGACATTTGCATGCTACAACTCTCTCTTCATGCTTCTGTTGCTACCACCATCACTACCACAACTACCACCATCACTTCCACAACTACCACCATCACTACCACAACTACCACCATCACTTCCACAACTACCACCATCACTTCCACAACTACCACCATCACTTCCACAACTACCACCATCACTACCACAACTACCACCATCACTTCCACAACTACCACCATCACTTTCACAACTACCACCATCACTTTCACAACTACCACCATCACTGCTACTACTACTATCATCGCTACCATCATCACTACCACCACTACCACAACTACCACCATCACTTCCACAACTACCACCATCACTACCACAACTACCACCATCACTACCACAACTACCACCATCACTTCCACAACGACCACCATCACTTCCACAACTACCACCATCACTGCTACTACTACTATCATCACTATCATCACCACTACCACCGCTACCACAACTACCACCATCACTACAAAAACTACCACCATCACTACCACAACTACCACCATCACTACCACAACTACCACCATCACTTCCACAACTACCACCATCACTTCCACAACTACCACCATCACTACCACAACTACCACCATCACTACCACAACTACCACCATCACCACAACGTGGCCTCCAGCCTCCCCCAATTGCCACACCTTCGCCACCATTAAATTACCTTAATATTAAATATCCTAATACATATGTAGCTGTCCTATCTGTGTTAAATTAGTTGAGCCGCAGATCTATGCGGCATTCAGTGACTGTTGCCTCATAGTCGATATCTGCAGCAGTTGCCGGAATTGGGGCAGAAGCTCTCGTTCCCCTGAGGCAGAGCAAAGCCGACCGAAGGAGAGAGAAAGACAGTCGACATCTCATCCAGGCTGTAAGGAAACTTCTGGGCTGCTGCTTCTGTTCGGAGATCACCTCCGCGAGTCTGGCGTAGAAGCATCTTGCACTTGGTCCCATCCCACCAGAGGTTGTGAACACTAGAGGAGTGAAGCTGCCTTGATCAACGTTTTGGATTCCCTCCCCATATGCCCTTATCTTGTCGTTCTCGTTCCTCCTATGTGCAGCATCGAGAGCTAGGTTACGGTGACATGCGGCCATGGGATCAAAAATCCTGATGTCGAAGAAAGCTCGCTGTCCTCGCGTCCAGAATCCTCGAGCAGTGAGGTCAACACGGGCTTCGTTAGATGTGTTTGAAGTCCTATGTTGGAAGATCTCACCATCCAATGGAAGGAGGGTCGGTTCTACCATGACATCCTGGCAGATTTCCTTCAACATATTTGCTGTAAGGTCCCTTATTTCGTCATGCCTCATGCATATGAAGCCCCCTTTCTTGCACACCATGGCGTGATCGCCGTCATAGGAAGAGCCACACACGCATTGGGAGGGCAAACCTTCTACTGGCCGACCGTAGCTTAGAGCAATGGCATCTGTAAATTCTTGTTTGTTAAGACTGAAACCATTTGCCCTTATCGGTAACGTAGTTAACCAGTTCGAGGCGCCCACCTCCTGCGCTATAGCTACATTTTTTTCAAATTTTCTGGAACCTGCAGCAACAGTTGCTGCAACTTATCATTTTGGCAGTGCTGTCGATCTGTCGTAATGGACCTACAAATCTCGTTTACTTCACTGGTCTCGACCTCCCCTGTTGCGTTCTGGGCTATTATGTGGTCCGTGAGGACTGCCGTGAGCTTAAGTGAATTTTGATGTTCGGTGGCTGCAATCTCCTCTGGATTGGTTAGTCCCATCCCTCCCAGTCTTGATGGAAGTGCAAGAAGTGCTCTTTCTGCTGGGGTTAAGTGAGTGTGTTTCACTAATTTGGGAATGAACTTGACACTGATAGCTTCTTCCAGAGGGTGGAGGAGGGGTCCGATACCAGGGATAGTACGCATCAGGTAGTTCCAACGATGCTTGACTCCATGGGTGAATGCAGCGAAAGCCGCATGTGGCTCTGTGTTAGCAATCTCAGACAGAGCTTGGATTTCACTAACCCACTCATTCACCTTTCCCGCTACGTACTCGGTCTTGAAGTCCGTAGTGCCAATTACTGCGCCTAGATGTCTTTGGCCGTCCTTAGTTATTTTGACCTCACTTCCGCCAAAAACCTCTTTTGCCCGTTCATAATGTTCTGGCTTCACGAACAGGAAGGACTTGCTGGCGTTTGGGTGGTACCCAATTTGTGGACCTCGCCACAAATCACCACAACTACCACCATCACTACCACAACTACCACCATCACTTCCACAACTACCACCATCACTTCCACAACTACCACCATCACTTCCACAACTACCACCATCACTGCTACTACTACTATCATCACTACCATCACCACTACCACCACTACCACAACTACCACCATCACTACTACAACTAGCATCCGTCATTACTACCACTGCCACCGTCACTACCACAATTACTACCATCACTACAATTACTACCACCATCATTACAACATCAACTAACCATCACTATCATAACTACCATCATCAACACACACAACCACCACCTGCACCACCACCAAAACCACCTGCACCATCACTTCTTTGCACCATAACCATTACCAGCAAAATCACTACCTTCACCACTACAACTCCCATTGCAATCGCCACCATGCACCATAACCACCAAAACCACCACAAGAACTGCCATCACCACGCACCATCATTACCACCATGTACACCATAACCACCACCACCATACATCACCATCACCACGCATCCCTACCATCAATAATACCATTATTACCACCACTCAAATCACCATCACCACTAACACTATCACCACCATCACTAACACTATCACCACCATCACTACCACCACCAGAACTACCACAACCTATCTGACAGCGCCATGAGAAGACACCAGCACCACTCAGAGGACCAGTCAGAAGCAGGGTGAAGGAAGAGAGACATGGGGAGGTAAGGTAAAAGAGGAGATAGGTAGGTTGGGTAAAGGGGGAGATAGGGAAGTAGGGTAAAGGAGGAGGGAAATGTGATGAAGGGGGAGAGAGACAGACAGAGAGAGGATAAGGGGGGGAGGAGAATATTGAGTAAAGAGTGAGTAAGGGGAAGAAAAAAGTTAAGGAAAAAGACTAAAAAAACAGGGAGTGATTAATGATCCGTGTGAAAAATGATAAGAGAGAGAGAGAGAGAGAGAGAGAGAGAGAGAGAGAGAGAGAGAGAGAGAGAGAGACTCACCCAAACACACAGTGGGAGGCAGTAAGGATGTGTCGGTCACTTATGAGAGACCCACCACAGAAGAACTTGTTCTTGTATACCAGCGCCACCTGTTGACGAAAAGATATGCATTAGTGATACCTGTGAGACGGTACACCTGTTTAATGACAACTATGGGGAATGAAATGTTTTTTACCGTGACCTGTTAGGCTAAATAACAACTGCGGGATGCCTTAGTTACAGATATGTTAGTACCCAGAGAAAGAAGTACTATTCACACGGACGCAAAGATGTTCCTGGATTCTTCTGTATTTCTTGTCGATTTTGAACCGGTAAGTTGAATCAAATGAGAAGACAATCTCTCAATGCCAACCTTTAACTTAATTTATTGCATTTCATATTAATCTTTGTAGGTTTTTGCTTTAAGCACTTTGACATACGATTTTATGCCATACTAACTTTGTTGTATATGTAGTTAACTTTATCAATATATTTTATCACGGTAAGGGCATCAATAATTGCATGGTGGGTTACGATGGTCTTGGCAACACTACTACTACTACTACTACTTTGCTGTCACTCGGAATCGAGTATGACGATCATCCAGCTATGATACAATGATGTGAGTTATTTAAGATGTCACCTTCGTTGGTGAGTTCTGTGGTGACCAGAGAAGCCGATGCGGACCGGCAGGGTCGTCCACAGATGTTGCAGGTGTGGAGGGCTCCATCTAGTGCTGGAGGGGGCGACAGCGTCTTTCCGGCGTTGGCACTTGTCTGCCTCGGTTTGCAGTCCGGCTATCTCGAAAGTATTGACACCTCCTCGTGGGGTCGATTTGGCACTTTTTCAGGTTTTTATTAAAACTATCCTTATACCTTTTCAGTTGCCCGCCAGCGTTACGTTTACTATTCGTTAGGTGACTGTAAAGTAGCTGCTTTGACAGTCTACTGTTGTCTACGTAGGTAACATGGCCAGTCCAGCGTAGCTGTTCATCGATAATGGTAGCCTCGATACTCCTGCAGTTAGTGTCAGCGAAAATACTGACATTTGTTCTCTTGTCTTCCCAGCGAATTCAGAGGATGGAACACAGACTATGTTGGTGAAAGTTTTCATATGTCTTGAGGTGCCACCTGTAAATGATCCATGTCTCGCTGCCATATAGCTCGATATACGTGTAACTTTGTAGATAATTTCAACTCCCTACAGCTGAAGACATAGATGCCGGAGTCTGCCAAAGGATTGAAATGTACATCTGATCCGATGTTGAAACTCTACATCGATTTCCGCGGTGGTGGACAGGTGGGAGCCGAGAAAGTGAAGGTGGGGATAAATGGTGGAAGTGTGGATGAACCAGGGGTAGGCTGAAAGAGAATGTGAGTCTTACATTCACCGGTTCTAGAACAACTGCCCCTGGACAATGCCCCCCGGACAATTGTCCCCCGACAACTGCTCCCTGGACAATTGCCCCCATAGGACAATTGCCCCATGGGACAATTGCCCCCCATTGCTCGAGTGAATCTTATGTACAGCTAACCTAACCTAACCTAACCTAAGCTAACCAAACCAAACCAAACCAGATCAAATCTAACCTAACCTAACCTAACCTAACCTAACTTAACCTAAACTAACCTTACCAACGTCACTATCAACCAGATTATTACAGGAGATCCAGCACCTCCTAAGAGGAAACGTTATCATGATTCAACAGCCAGAATAGCAACCATCGTACAAGACTTAAAGAATCGCCGTGTACATAAGCCAATAAATAAAACATGAAAATAAAGTATTAATTCTGAGCTATTTTCTCCTCTCTATTTAATTAGTTCCATGTTTTGTGCCAGTTAATCACTGGCGATGGGGGGCAATTGTCCAGGGGCAGTTGTCGGGGGGGGGGGAAATTGTCCAGGGGGCAGTTGTCCTGATACCACATTCGCATCAAGGCCGAAGTCTGCACACGCATCTGTGTAGGGTTTCAGGATCTCCTGTAGGTCGATTAAGTGTGAGCGACAAGGGTGAGGTTGTCTGCTTACTGAAGTTTAGTAATGGGATCTGCCAACACCTTTGTTCCTGTCTGGATTCGTCTTATGTTGAAAAATTCCTTCATCCGGTACTGGATCTCCACCCCGCCAGCTAAATTTGCACTGCCACGAGTAAGGAAGACAGTCAAGAAAATAGAAAAGAGAGTTGGCACCAGTACACATCCTTGTTTTACCCCCATTTGGATGTGGAAGAACTCAGGCTAGGTGCCATTGTGCAGGATACTGCCGTTAATGCTATCTTGCAGTTGCCTCATAATGGCGATGAATTTTGGTGGCCGAGGGTCTCTGCGCAGGTTTTGTCATGACAGTGTCGATAATATCCCATTCGGCACTGGGATTTGGGTTGTTTGTTTTCGGGCTGTTTTATCAGCCCATGTTCGAACTGCTCTCAGAAAGTATATGCTACCGCTCGATCCTCCAGACGCTTTGTGTTAAAACCTCTTCTGGGGGCTTGTTGCCTTCGCCATTTTGGGGCGACGTGAAGAGAGAGCTTGGTTCTGACGAGCCTATGGTCAGTGCCGCAGTGGTCTAGCCACGCATGGCTCAGGTGACGAGGACATCTCGGTGATCTCTCTCTGACAATGATGTAGTCAATGAGATGCCAGCGTTTGGACAGTGGGTGTTGCCACGAACCCTTGAAATTGTCGGCCTGCCTAAACAAGGTGTTGGTGAGAGTGAGGTTGTGTGCTGAACAATTGCTGAAGAAGAGTAGGCCATTGGGATTACACTTGCCTAAATCCATTTCTCCCTATAGTTCCCTGCCAAATGTCAGCATTTCTGCTAACTCTGGCATTGAAGTCGCCTATGAGCACAACCTTATCTTCTCTGGGGATAGAGATTAGCACTCTGTCAAGGTCGACACAAAAGGCCTCCTTGATGTCATCCTCTGCATCCAGTGTTTGAGCATATGCACTGATGAAGAAAGCATGACGTGAGTGATTCAGTTGGACTCGGAACGTCATGAGGCACTCGTTGATCCCAACTGGCATTTCAGTTAGCCTATGTAGGATGCATTGGCGTATGGCAAAGCCAACTCCGTAAATGCAGTTTCTCTCTACAGCAGGCTTACCCTTCCAGAAAAAGGTGTAGCCAGACCCCCGTTCTCTGAGTCGACCCTCGTCTGGGAGCCGGGACTCACTAATGGTTGCTATGTCGATGTTATACCTAGCCAGCTCTTTTGACAAAAGGGCGGTTCTTCTTTCAGGATGCTCCAGAAAGGGTCTGAAATTCCATGCAGCAACCATAAGAGGTTATATAGTTTGTTTTTGTTTTGATCTGTGATTATGATTGTGTTTTCGACTGCATAAGGATGACCTTAATGGGTGTGGCTGCCCAGTCAGGTTGGTTCTATAGGCAGGCTATGTTTAGGGCATCTTTTCCAGCCCCCTCCCCATGTGGGGTGAGCAGAGTGGCTCCTCGAAAGGACTGCTCAGTCACACCGAGAGGATCGGATTGCCGCCCATGTGCCGAGTTGTGACTAGAGACTCCCGGCCGTCATCTCTGCTTGTCCCCATTGCCATAGGACTTTTGGGGGTACAGGGATTTTGATGATGATGAGAAGTATGATGAGCTGGATGATGGCTGCTTGTGAGTGGATTTATGTGGTGAGGCAGGAGCGCAGGCTGCAATCACACATCTTGGCTCTCCCTTTTCCTGATCCAGTGGTGCAAGTGTTGTAATGACTGGGGAGAGGTAGAGTTGCAATGGCCCGCCGATAGCACAGTTTGTTTGGTTTCGCCTTAGTAGCCTGTCCATCACACAGCGCCTTCATCCACCAGCGTAGTTGTTGGGTTCCCATGCTGGTCACCTCTTCCACCTATTCCGCTGTTGGGTGTTGTTGAAACTCCGTAAGCATGTCTGCCTGATGCGGGGCTCCACTTCAGATTTTTCATTCAGGGTTTACTCCCGTAGCCCTATACCTTCCAAGGTTAATCCGCAAAGCAGCGGGGAAGTGGCTGGTAGGCGCCAGGATATGTCCACATGCCACTGGGACTATGCGTCTCCCTTCTGGGGCCCACTGCTGTTCCGAGATCCCCTGCTGGTCTAGGCTGGGCTCTCGAGGCACCCAGTTACCGTGTGTTGCCACGAGGAGGCACAGCAGGGGAGGACTTGTGCAATTTGCTTCCCTGTTCACCATGAGGACTAGCAAGCAGCAGTAACTGAAAGCGAGAGGAAACAAGAAGTGCCTGCACCTTAGCACTACCATAATGCCGCCACACTAGACGCATTACACCACCCTGTGTACACACACACACGCAAACACACTGTCAACACTATTATTAGAGGAATATAACTATGACGACCAGATTTACTTCATACATGACCACAGGGGGCAGGGAAAAAACACTTTTATTTGAGTTGCAGGCTGCACTTTTCAGGCATCGTTTGTATGGCTGTAACAAACACCTGTGCAAAATTTCATGCCATTCCATGCATACTTACCCTGCCGCATCGCGAACGACTTTTTGTCAACTTTTAGTGTATACCAAAAATTAGGTGTCATTTAATGTTTTCCAGGATAATGATAAATTTTACATGGGTGACATCGATTTAATTCACATGTTATTTTACAGGTACACCGTATAGAAAATCATTACAAGTTCATATTGAAATTCTTTTTTGTGCGGAACCTTGGCATCATTTTCCTAGACAATAATCTTTGCCTAATATATCCATCTCTCGATTCGTATCCCGTCACTTCAGTGCAAGCTTCAGTCATCACTTTTATGCCTCTCTCGACCGCCTGAGTGCTGTTTGGCCACTTGGGCACCACTAATGGTGTCTCAAGAATGTCATTAACCTGTAGATTTGACAGAGAAGCAATGTAAGGAGGCTCAGTCTTGAGTTCATTCCTCCAGTTAATCATGGAATGATAGTTTTTTGCTTGCCACTTTAGTTTCGGAGTCACCACCTTTCTCATGTTGACTACAGGAGGCACATCCTCATTCCCATCTCCATCTTTACCCTCCTCATCAGTATAGTTTAACAAATTCTCGTCAACAGCAGCATCAGAATCTTCCTCCTCCTCTTCAGATCTGCCAGTACATTCTTCCTTTTGCTGATTCTCCTCTCTAATTTTTCTTATCATTGAGACAGCTTTTTCTCTAACAGTCATGTCCTCATATGCACACATACCAAGAAGAAGTTGATCTGTGTGGGCGAAGTATGCATTTCTCTGGACAGCCTTCTTCACTATCGTCTCCTCCTCACTATTCAGGTGTTTCATATATAGCAGGGACTGGAATACGTTCCTTGAGCCGTGTGTTACGTAAGGGTGTATCTTGATGTAAAACCACATTGGAGCACTGAACTTTATTATTGTAATGACAATTCTTTTCAACTCATGGCTGGGTCTTGATGTTGCTACATACAGCCTGAGGATTCTACTCCATAAGGTGTTCCACCTTGACACACAGGGAGGACCTGGCTCAATAGCAGCCAAGTCATCTTCAACAACACCTGTGATAACTCCTTTACAAATCCTATACAGGTATTTTTGATTCCAGGACAGATCTTTCTCCACTTCATCATTAAACACAGGGAAATCAGGGAAACTGACTGGCTGGAAGGCGACAACTGGAAGCTCAAACAAAAACTCCTTGATCTGCTTTCCAATGGGACCACGCCAATGCTCAGGACCACTTGGTTTACCATCATAGTGATAAAAAACTGCGCGGAAAGGCAGCTCATTTCCGTGAAGCTGACATATGAAATAATGGAGCAGGTGACCAAGTAACATTTCAAGATGATGAATGACTCCATTTTCTGATCCTACATTTACATTGGTTCCATCACAACCAACACACACAATGGGCTGCTGGGTTAGATTTTTCTCCACCAGAAACTCGTGAATAGTTTTGGCAATCTGCTTTCCGTGTCCAGTCTTGGGAGTCACATGTGTGAGATATTCATTGCCAGGCTCAACCATGATGACATAATGATCTTTCACCATCATCCTCGAACTCCATTTCTCGGTCTTCTCATTCTTTATCATCACACGAGTGGCGGTCTTCTTACCATCAAAATAGAGTGACGTCAAATTATCTAAACTAGCCATCTCAATTTCTTGCCTCTTAAATCGGTATTTTTGTCTCGCATCCCGCAGCTTATGTGGTCCAATAACCTGACTCTTGTCATCCTTTGTGATAATGCCATAGTCAGTTAAGGTGGCAGTAGCAATGGCAGCTCCAGCATAATCACTAATCAAGTATCGGTCACAAGCGGCAGCCAGTGTAGGGAGTCTTGTCCGGTTCTGTGAACTGGTGTCTGTCAGAGCCCTTGGATCAGGGACAAAATCAGCATCAGTATTGACGAGAGGAATATCTCTTGAATCATCTGAATTATCCTCAACATAAGGAATATCTCCAGCTACCAGATATCTATGTTTTTGCTCAAGCTGTCTCCTAACTCTGTCCGCATCATGCTTCTCTCTTGCCGTCACTCTGTCCCACATCTTCGTCACTTTCATGTCAACCCCTGCAATCTTCATCTTCCTATCACCTCGCTGGTCAAGGAGAAACTGCACCTCACGTTTGGGAACTTTTATAACACAATTACATGCCAGGTGATATCCGTCACACTCCTTAACTATGCACCTCACATCCTGACAGGAGGCAAGGGGACAATAACAGCTACAGATATCAGGTCTCCCCTACATTACAGTACAGTAACACAACATTGAGAAATGAAATGAGAAAAGGTTGATAATCAATATAGACATAGCACCATACTCATCTACAACAAGACAACTTAAATGAAATAAGAGATATGAAAAAAAAGTTGATAAACACTGAACAGAACATTGCACCGCCACAGCGGCTGTTTGGCTAGTACTGTAGGTAAATTTAAAAATTTCAGTAGAAAATGCGGCAGACTAAACCTCGACATATCAGCTTCAAATTTGGCATGGAGTCTTAGATATGTATAAGGAACAATGCCTGAAGAGTGCAGCTTTGAGCAAAATTTCACTGCCCCCTTGACCAGTGACCACTGTTTATGCGTGACACTTACTGTAACAACATTTAAAGAATATTCTAAGTGACAAAGGAAGGACCTACCTGCCATGGGTACTCGTTGAGGTTGGCATAGAAGCCGCCGATGACCCTGAAGGTGGGAGGTTCGTCATAATACTGCCAGCATTTTTCGTTCACCTTCAGCAATTCGAATGCTGTGAAAACAACGCACTCCATTAATGGAAATATCTCTTTCTCATCCGTTTGTGATAAAAATTATTTACCCAATTTTGTTTATGATATGAATAACTGTTTTTAGTTCATGCTAACTTTAATATTTACGTTTAAATACAGTACTTTCAACCAGGTGATGTTGCTTAAATTATCGATTTGGAAGTAAGGGCGTGAACAAGTCACCTGCTTCGTAAAGTGGATACAGAAGGTACAGATGTCAAGGAGTGTGTTGTGACGTCAAAAAAACGTCAAGGAGTATGTTCGAATTGGACGTTAGTACAGTCAGGGACAGGGCTGACAAGGAAGGTATAAAAACTTTAATTGTTGGTGACTCACAGGTAAGGTAAGTGGACAGGGCTTTTTGTGACAAAAACAAAAATAGGATGAGGGTGTGTTTGCCAGGAGCTGGGATGGGGGATATAAGTGACAGGATGGACAATATCTTGTCTGGTAATGGGAACAAACCCATTATCTGCCTCAGTGCAGGAAGCAATGATATTGGCCGGTGTAGGAGCGAGGAGCTTCTTGATAAGTTCAAGGCAGCTATAGATCGTATTAGGACTAAGGGAGGGATCCCTATCATATGCGGTGTCCTGCCTAGAAGGAGAGTTGGCAGTGAATGGTTGTCAAGGGCAGTTGGTGTCAACGACCGTCTTGACAGATATTGTAAGTCAATATCAGTCCCATTTATTGACAACTGGGACAACTTCTACGGCAGAAGGGACCTTTATTCTAGGGATGGGGTGCACCTCTCTCGAGATGGGGTAGCAACCCTGGCTGGGTCTCTAGAGGGGGCAGTTAAAAGGATATCGAAGTCTTTAAACTGCTAGGGGAACATATGGGCACGGGGGTGAAGGAGACTGCATTGAGAGCGGGTAAACAAAGTGAAAGATTACAGGGAAATAGTGTTAGGAATGATGACAAAACTAAATTTGACAGGGAGTTTAAAACTAAACGCGGTAAAGTGAGGACTCAGAATACGACTAACTTAAATGTCTACTACGCGAACAGTAGAAGTATGAGAAACAAAATGGATGATATTAGAGCCTTGGTATGTACCGAAAAAATCTATATAATAGCATTCACTGAAACATGCATCAACCTAGACTCACGTGAGTTACAGTTCGAATACCAAATTGCGGGTTACAAATTGTTCCATACCGATAGGCAGACCAGGAAAGGAGGCCGAGTAGCAATCTATGTTAGGGATAATCTGAAGTGTGAAATAAATAAGGAAATAAAAACTGAGCGGAATACAGAAACAATTTGGAAAGAATTAATCGACGGTAGGGAAAAATTAATCACAGGAGTAATATATAGACGTCCCAATCTTAATAGAGTCCATGAGCGACTTATCTGGGATGAAATGCGCAGGGCTTCCATACACAACAAAGTCTGTATAGTAGGCGACTTTAACCTTGGCCAAATAGATTGGACTGACCTTACGGGTAACTCAGAATCAGAGGATTTTCTCGAGACGATCCAGGACTGTTTCCTAAGTCAACATATAACCGATCCCACCCTGGAAAATAACATACTCGATTTAGTTCCGTCGAACAGAGAAAACCTCATTAGCAATGTCGAGGTAGGGAACGAACTTGCAAGCAGCGATCACAAAGAAATTAGATTCCAGTTAGATTTTCAGGGCAGAAGTAAGGAAAATTCCACTAAAGTACCAGATTTCAGAAGGGCAAACTTGACAGTTTAAAGAGGCAGCTGAGTGAGGGGGTGTCGCGCTTGGCCGTGAACCTGACAGATGACACCAACCTGATAACGAGATCTTAGATTGCCGAGTTCCACGACAATTTAAATAATGAGTTATTTAATGCACAAAGACAGAACATACCATACAAAAAACTCAGGTCAGACACCATTGACCCTAAATGGATAAATAATTATTTAAAGAACATCATTGGCCAAAGGAAGGCTATAGGTAGAAGGATTAATCTTGGCGAAATTTTCCTCTGGGATTATTATACGGTATTGGCGAGTAGGGTTAAATGCGAGATAAGGAAAGCCAAGAGGAATAATGAGGTAAGGATAGCAAGGGAGGCGAAGACTAACCCCAAAGGATTCTACCAAATGTATCAAACTAAAACACGAGAAAAAATTGGACCAATAAGGTCAGATATCGGTGAGCTCACTGATAACGACGGAGAAATGAGCAATAATTTGAATAAATATTTTTCAACAGTTTTCACCACCGAAAATTTAAACATGATACCCGAGGCACTGACTCTATTCAGAGATAGTGAAGAAAACAAATTAAGCGAGATAGTAGTGACTAGTAACGATGTTAGTAAGCAAATAGACAAACTAAAGCCTAATAAGTCACCTGGTCCCGATGAGATATTTGCCAGAGTATTAAAGGAATGTAAAGAAGAGCTTAGTATGCCCTTAGCAAAGTTGTTTAACATGTCCTTAAAAACAGGTGTAGTACCAGAATCCTGGAGGATAGCTAATGTAATACCGATTTTCAAGAAGGGGGATAGATCACTATCCTCTAACTACCGCCCAATCAGTCTAACATCAATAGTAGGCAAATTACTGGAAGCAATCATTTCAAACTCTATTCGAAATCACCTGGAGAAGCACGGACTGATCAATGATTCCCAGCATGGCTTCACAAGCGGACGTTCTTGTCTAACTAATCTATTAACATTCTTTTCATCAGTTTTCGAAACGGTGGACGAGGGGCACAATTATGATGTGGTATATCTCGACTTTAGCAAAGCCTTTGACAGAGTCCCCCACGAAAGACTAATTAGAAAGGTAGAAGCACATGGCATCAAAGGTAATATCCTTAAATGGATTAGGGCGTGGTTACAGGACAGGAAACAGCGAGTGAGCATTAACGGCACTAAGTCCCATTGGAGCAACTTCACAAGTGGAGTTCCCCAAGGCTCAGTCCTTGGACCATTTATTATTTATTATATACATAAACGACATAGATGACACTAAAATAGGACGTGTTATTAAATCTGACGAGGACTACGCAAAACTACAGGAAGATCTAAACAAATTTTTAGAATGGTCTGAAAAATGGCAGATGAAATTCAACGTGGACAAATGTAAAGTACTCAGTATAGGAGATGTAAACAGGGAAACCAGATTCCAGATGAACAACGATGCCATAGAGAAATCCGACTGCGAGAAAGATTTAAGAGTAATGATAAGTAGGAACCTTTAGCCAAGTAAACAATATGTTTTTGCTCCTAACAAGGCTAATAAAGTACTTGGGTTCATACAAAGGAGTGTTAGTTACAAGACTAGCGAGGTCATCCTAAAACTGTATCTTGCGCTTGTGAGACCACACCTGGATTATGCAGTTCAGTTCTGGTCACCGTATTACAGAATGGATATAGAATCCTTGGAAAGAATTCAGAGGAGAATGACAAGACTAATCCCGGGCATTAGGAACCTTGAGTATAGAGACAGGTTAACGCATCTTAATTTGCACTCCCTCGAGAGACGTAGAGCGAGGGGCGACCTGATAGAGGTGTATAAGTGGAAGTCAGGGCTAAACAAAGGGGACATTACAAAGGTACTCAAATTATCCAACCAGGAGCAAACTCGTAGCAATGGTTTTAAATTAGACAAATTTACATTTAGGCGTGAAATAGGTAAACACTGGTTTGGAAACAGAGTAGTGGATGAATGGAACAAGTTACCAAATATCATCATTAACTCAAATACGCTGAATAGCTTCAAACATAGGTTGGATGCTTATATGAGCAATAGGGGTTGGGTGTAAACGGGACTGCCCAGTATGGGCCAATAGGCCCGCTGCAGTTTCCTCCATTCTTTTGTTTTTATGTTCTTATATTGTGACGTCTTAATAAAGGTAAGGGGTGTGTTGTGACGTCATAATAAGTCAAGGAATGTGTTGTGACGTCATAATAAAGTCAATGAGGTGTGTTGTGATGTCATAATAAAGTCAAGGAGTGTGTTGGGGCGTCATGATAAAGTCAAGGAGTGTGTTGTGACGTCATAATAAAGTCAAAGAATGTGTTGTAGTGTCGTTATAAGTCAAGGAGTGTGTTGTGACGTCATAATAATCAAGGAGTGTGCTGTGACGTCATATTAAAGTTAAGGAGTGTTGTGACGTCAGTAACCGGTGTGTCAGAGGACTTACTTCTCCTAAAAGCGGATATGGCTGGGGTGGTGCCGATAGATCCGGTGTAAACTCCTTCCTCTTCCTCGCTCTCAAGTTCCGGGAGCGCCGCCCTGATGAGCACCTATTAATGAGGTATACAGTATAGTCTGGGTGAAGATGGCCAGGGTACAGTACCTCTAGAGGTGGGAGTTTAATGAGTTACCTGCTGATGAAGGACTATGTCATTATTTATAGGTAGTAGGTAATAGGCAGCTATCAAACAGGGAGGTACTACCGCCTAGGAAGATACTGAAAGCATAATGTGTAGTCTAATGGTAGACCCTGCTGCCATATGGCATCACAACATTTTTTACCAGGTCCCAGGTTGCTGACCTGACTTTCTACCTCATTTACACACAAATGCAGGGTCTCAATTGTTTCTCTTACTTTGACAACACAACAAACACAAATTGTTTCTCACTCTTGATCTTTTCTTCTTTTTTTAATTATTATTATTATTATTATTATTATTATTATTATTATTATTATTATTATTATTATTATTATTATTATTATTATAATTATTATAATTATTATAATTATTACTATTATTATTATTAGTAGTAGTAGTAGTAATAGTAGTGGATTGCAAGAAGCGAGACCAGTGTCAGAACCCACGTCGCAGGGAGCCAACACAGGTGGCCACAGTGGATATCGCCGGGACCCAACTACCCGATGATATCCGAAATGATAGCAGTGAGTCTACTCAACCCGAAAATGTAGTACTAATTAATGCTGCTCCCTTAGTAGCAGATGTCCACGAGGAGAATGAGAGACAGCCACCTCAGTGGAATGGCATGTCGATGGAAAATGCAGACATATGGGTCAAAGAAACCTATTCAGAAATTGTCAAGTGGTCGCCCGCTAACTTATTTGAACCACCCAAGTGTGCGGCCACCAAAGAAATGATTCGGGAGATGACTCGCTTCATGTCTGATTACACTCAGGACCGCTTCCTCGCCCCCCTAGCTCTTCAAATACTGGCAATAATACCACATCTATTTTGTCAGAGGACACACACAAAGGCTAAGCACAAAGAAAATGTGGCAGCAATGAAGAGAAGATTGACAATGTGGCAGACTGGGGCCCTAGATGATCTCCTATGTGAAGCAAGAACACTGCAGGAGAGACTAAAATTTACGGGTGACGGAAAGCAAAACACCGATGACGTGGCAAGAAAATTTGGAAACAAAATGCGTGTGGGAAAAGTGTCTCTCGCGGTAAGATCTCTCACACAGGAATCCTCCGGTGGAGTGATGCCAATAAACAGAGAGACATTAAAACTATTGAAAGAGAAACATCCCCCTGCAAGCGAAGATGAAGGCATCAGGTTCCAGGGTGACTATATCCCACCAAATGCTGTCCTGTTCGAGAAAATAACAGGAGAGATGGTGTGGAAAAAGGCACTGAAGACTCGAGGAGGAGCCGGCCCTTCAGGTCTGGATGCAAACGGTTGGAGAGTCATCCTCAGCACAAACAAGTTTGGCCCTGTAGCAAGCGATCTCTGCACTGCCATTGCCGCCCTTGCAAGAAAGCTTGCATCCTCTTGCTGCCATCACCTCCAGGCTCTGACGGCCTGCCGCCTTATTCCTCTGGAAAAGAAACCAGGATGTAGACCTATAGGGGTGGGGGAAGTGCTGAGGCGGATCATCGGAAAGTGCATAATGGAGGTGGTAAAGGATGATGTCAGGGCAGCAGCAGGGAACCTACAAGTGTGTGCTGGCCACCAGGCTGGTGGGGAGGCGGCCATTCACGCCATGAGATTGATATTTGAGCAGCGTGATTGTGAGGCCGTTCTCCTGGTGGATGCTTCAAACGCATTCAACATACTTAACCGCAAGGCTGCACTGCACAACATCAAGATCAAGTGTCCTAGCTTTGCGATGTATGTTGAAAATTCGTATAGGAATCCTTCAGACCTCTACATAGTAAACAACAAGGCTCTACGAGGTGATACCATCCTACAGTCGACCGAGGGAACAACACAGGGGGACCCCGTTGCAATGGCAATGTATGCAATAGGCCTATCAGTGCTCCAACAAGAACTAAAATTTGAAACAACTGGGGTCAAACAAGTGGCATATGCTGATGACCTTACAGGAGCAGGAAAAGTGGAGGGCATCAAAAAGTGGTGGGACCTGGTAACATCGCGAGGTCCACAAATAGGGTACCACCCAAACGCCAGCAAGTCCTTCCTCATCGTGAAGCCAGAACATTACGAACGGGCATTGGAGGTTTTTGGCGGAAGTGAAGTCAAAATAACTAAGGACGGCCAAAGACATCTAGGCGCAGTAATTGGCACTACGGACTTCAAGACCGAGTACGTAGCGGGAAAGGTGAATGAGTGGGTTAGCGTAATCCAAGCTCTATCTGAGATTGCTAACACAGAGCCACATGCGGCCTTTGCAGCATTCACCCATGGAGTCAAGCATCGCTGGAACTACCTGATGCGTACCATCCCTGATATCGGACCCCTCCTCCACCCTCTGGAAGAAGCCATCAGTGTCAAGTTCATTCCCAAACTAGTGAAACACCCTGACTTAACCCCTGCAGAAAGAACACTTCTTGCACTTCCACCAAGACTGGGAGGGATGGGACTAACTAATCCAGAGGAGATTGCTGACACTGAACATCAGAATTCACTATAGCTCACGGCAGCCCTCACTGACCACATAATAGCCCAGAATGCAACAGGGGAAGTGGACACCAGCGAAGTAAATAAGATCCGTAGGTCCATTACAACAGATCGGCAGCACTGCCAAAATGACATGTTGCAGCAACTATTGCTGCAGGTTCCAGAAAATTTGACAAAAAAAGTAGCTATAGCGCAGGAGGTGGGCGCCTCGAACTGGTTAACTACGTTACCGATAAGGGCAAATGGTTTCAGCCTTAACAAACAAGAATTTACAGATGCCATTGCTCTAAGGTACGGTTGGCCAGTAGATGGTTTGCCCTCCCAATGCGTGTGTGGCTCTTCCTATGATGGCGATCACGCCATGGTCTGCAAGAAGGGGGGCTTCATATGCATGAGGCATGACGAGGTAAGGGATCTCACAGCAAATATGTTGAAGGAAATCTGCCGGGACGTCATGGTAGAACCGACCCTCCTTCCACTGGATGGCGAGATCTTCCAACACAGGACTTCAAACACATCTAACGAAGCCCGTGTGGACGTCAGTGCTCGAGGATTCTGGACGCGGGGACAGCGAGCTTTCTTCGACATCAGGATTTTTGATCCCATGGCCGCTTGTCACCGTAACCTAGCTCTCGATGCTGCACATAGGAGGAACGAGAACGACAAGAGACGGGCATATGGGGAGAGAATTCAAAATGTTGATCAAGGCAGCTTCACTCCTCTAGTGTTCACAACCTCTGGTGGGATGGGCCCAAGTGCAAGATGTTTCTACTCCAGACTGCTAGACTCTCGGAGGTGATCTCCGAACAGAAGCAGCAGCCCAGAAGTTATGTTACAGCCTGGATGAGATGTCGACTGTCTTTCTCTCTCCTTCGGTCGGCTTTGCTCTGCCTTAGGGGAACGAGAGCTTCTGCCCAAACTCCGACAACTGCTGCAGATATTGACTATGAGGCTACTGTCACTGAATGCTGCATAGATCTGCGGCTTAACTAATTTAACACAGATAGGATAGCTACTTATGTATTAGGATATTTAATATTAAGGTAATTAAATGGTGGCGAAAGTGTGGCTATTGGGGGAGGCTGGAGGCCACTATAAAAAAAAAGTAGTAGTAGTAGTAGTAGTAGTATAATTATTATTATTATTATTATTATTATTATTATTATTATTATTATTATTATTATTATTATTATTATTATTATTATTATTATTATTATTATTAATATTATTATTATTATTACAGATGTATTATTATTATTATTATATTTTCGTCCCCAGGCCCCGAAGTGGGTCATTGACTTGTGTCCGGGTAGGCTAATGCCTGTAAAAAAAAAAGGAATTCACACACACACACACACACACTACATCCTTGACAACCGGAGGGTCAAGACCTTCCAGGCCCTGCTTAGCAGCGGCCCCCCTTGGCCATGTTCGGCCCCACTCCTCAAGTCCCTCTCCCCGACCCATCCTCACTACCGGGATATCAACATAATCAAAAGTGACAATTTCGTTTCGGAAAGAAGTGGGATCAGTGTTGAACAGTAATGAGCAGTGTTTAAGCCAGTGAATTCAGCACCAGACAATGCCAGTGAGAGTAGTGACCCACCACTGAGATAAGCACCCCTGGGAACTGACCACCATCTTCTGACCAGGAGGTGCTATTCAATCCACCATGGGAACAACAGTGGGTCGGCTTCACACCTGACTACGAGATAACACAACACTATCCAGCAGAGTGAGATGCTGTGACACCACCCCACACCACACCGTGTCCCCATGACCACGTGAGGTCCTTCATATTAACACCTATGGACGAGTTACTGCACCACGTGAACACCACACCACCCGATGCCTCCATGACCACGTGAGGTCCTTCATGTCAACATCTGAAGACGGGTTGCTGCACCGCGTGAACACCACACCATCCGGTGTCCTCATGACCACGTGAGGTCTTTCATATTAACACTCGAGGACGAGTTACTACACCACGTGAACACCACACCACCCAATGTCTCCATGAACACGTGACGTCCTTCACTTCATCCTCGACCACTGAAGGATCAAGATGTACCTGGCGCTCCTCTGAGAGCAGCCATGTCAACTGTTAAGTTGGCCTTTACCAACTCCCTCCCCTGAACCCCTCCTCCCCACCGGAATATCAACAAGTTCTCGCCAGAAGTTACAATTTCATTTAGGAAAGGAATGGAACCAGTGTTGAATATTGGTGAACAGTGCTCAAGTCAGTGAGAACAACTCAACAGTAACAGCTGAGTCGTACCCAAGTTAACCTTCACACAGTGAGGTCCCAGGTACCCAGTGATAACTGCACGTGAGACTCAACAACAAGCAGCGATGTGTTAATCCGTCCACGATAGGGAGGCCTGGGACCACACCTCACTCATATAACACCAACTGTGAGGGAACTACTACACCACGTGAGGCCCCTCATAACACCATCTGTGAGGGAGTTACTACACCACGTCAGGCCCCTCATAGCACCATCTATGAGGAAACTACTACACCACGTCAGGCCCCTTTTACACCATCTGTGAGGGAGGTACTACACTACGTCAGGCCCCTCATAATACCATCTGTGAGGGAGGTACTACACTACATCAGGTCCCTCATAACACCATCTGTGAGGGAGTTACTACACCACGTCAGGTCCCTCATAACACCATCTGTGAGGGAGGTACTACACTTCGTGTTTGCTGTTCAACACCTCAACCAATGTGACATACGTGACCTCCACTGTAAACATTAATCTGTTTGTTCACTGTAAGTTCCCTTACCTTCCTCTAATGAAGGCTTTTGTTAAACCACCAATGTACTGTATGTAATAAATCATTTATGTCCAATGTATATTTTCAGCCTTCGGGCTGCAGAACTTTTTCAATAAACCGTTAATTATTATTATTATTATTATTATTATTATTATTATTATTATTATTATTATTATTTATATCAACACTCGAGGACGAGTTACTACACCACGTGAAAACCACACCACACCACCCGATGTCTCCATGACCAGCCCAGGCCCGGGCAATCAACTGTAAACTATAATAATTTGTATGTTCAATTCATGTTCCTTCTCCTTTCAGTAATGAAAGCTTTTGTTAAACGACCCACCCTCCCCATGTCTTTGTATGTAATAAGTCATTTTTGTCCAATGTATATTTTCAGCCTTCGGTCTGCAGAACTTTTTCAATAACCGTTAATTATTTTATATTATTATTATTTCACACACACACACACACACACACACACACACACCATTCAGTTCTCTCTCTCTCTCTCTCTCTCTCTCTCTCTCTCTCTCTCTCTCTCACCTCGTCATTAGGAGGCATGGGTAGCTTGCCAGGCATAAGGGTCGTAGGCACCGACTCCGTGGTCGTCACCACCGACTCCGTGGTCGTCACCACCGACTCCGAGGTCGTCACTTCGCTTGAAGTTCCCCGTACCACATTCATCACGGTAGTCGTTTCCTCTGTGGTGTCGGTGGCTGTGGTAGGGTCGACGGTGGTGGGGCCCTCGACGGTGGTGGGGTTCTCGACTGTGGTGGGGTCCTCGGTAGTGGTAGGGGCCTCGGTGGTAGTGGTGGTGGGGATGTACTTCTCAGCTTCAGCGTTCCTGATACCTGCATACGTAGGAGCTGTGGGGGAGAAGAGGCAAGAATGATGGTGTGTGTTTGTGTGTGTGTGTGGAGGCAGTTTGTGAGAGATGTGCAGAATTAGTGTGATAGGTTATGATGAAGGAGTTTGGTATGGGCGTGAAAGAGGTGCAATGTGGATAGAGAAAGAGACTGTCTAGTACGAGGGCAGAACTGGAGAACATTTACTTTCTTTTGGACATAACACTATTAAGAGGACACTTTCAGTTTAATAGGTGTGGGGTAATTTATCCCTGGACATGAGCACAAGAAAGTGGACATTTAACCCTGGACATGAATGAGCACAAAGGCAGTGAACAGAATAGAGGTGGGGTGATGTCTGAGGTAGTCCGACTTACACTGGAATGGGGGAATGTTGTCGCAAGCGAGCTGGGTAAGACCTATGGAGAAGGTGTAGGCGGGGATGCCCTGCAATACCATAGCCAGCGTCAAGCGGGTCCTCTCCTTCACCGCGAAAGTTGCTGTAACAGAAAAGAAAAATTTATTAACCCATAGCCGTCCCTCACACCTCACCTCGTCCCCCACACCTCACCTCGTCCCTCATAACTCACTCCATCCCTTTACACCTCTCCCGTCCATCTCACCCATCCTGTCCGTCACACCCCACGTCCCTCACACCCTCTTCCGTCCCTTACACCCCTCCCGCTCCCCCATACATACCCCTGTCCTTTACACCCCCGCCCGTCCCTCATACCCCTTCCCGTCTCTCACACCCCTCCCGTCCCTCCCGTCCCTCACCCCCTCCGTCTCATATCTCTCGCCCCCCCCCACAGGAAACAAGTGTAGAACGTACTAATCCAAGAGGTCATGTTGCCACAGACAGGAGTGACGGGGTCGTTGATGCTTGTACCCAGGATGGTCAATGTGTCTCTTATACACACACCATCCTCGTACCGCGCCAGCAGGAACTTGTGGAAGGTCATCCTGTAAGAGAAGGGGGAGTTGTTACTTGAATGTGTGGAAAGATAGTTGATGTTACTTGAATGAGTGGGAAGAAATTGCTGTTACGTAAATGTGTGGGAATATGGTCGTTGTTACTTGAATGTGTGGGAAGATTGTTGTTGTTACTTGAATGTATGGAAACCGAGTTGTTGTTACTTGAATATGCGGGAAGATATTTGCTCTTAGTTGAATGTGTGGGAAGGTAGTTGCTGTTATTTGAATGTGTGGGAAGATACTTATTGTTACTTGAATATAAGAACATAAGAACAAAAGAATGGAGGAAACTGCAGCGGGCCTATTGACCCATATTGGGCAGTCCCGTTTATACCAACCCCTATTGCTCATATAAGCATCCAACCTATGTTTGAAGCTATCCAGCGTGTTCGAGTTAATGATGATATTTGGTAACTTGTTCCATTCATCCACTACTCTGTTTCCAAACCAGTGTTTACCTATTTCACGCCGAAATCTAAATTTGTCTAATTTAAAACCATTGTTACGAGTTCGCTCCTGGTTGGATAGTTTGAGTACCTTTGTACTGTCCCCTTTGTTTAACCCTGACTTCCATTTATACACCTCTATCATGTCGCCCCTCACTCTACGTCTCTCGATGCAGTCCAAATTAAGATGCTTTAACCTGTCTCTGTATTCAAGGTTCCTAATGCCCTGGATTAGTCTTGTCATTCTCCTCTGGATTCTGTCCAAGGATTCTATATCCATTCTGTAATACGGTGACCAGAACTGAACTGCGTAATCCAGGTGAGGTCTCACAAGCGCTAGATATAATTTTAAGATGACCTCGCTTGTCTTGTAACTAACACTCCTTTGTATGAACCCAAGTACTTTATTAGACTTGTTACGAGCAAACACACATTGTTTACTTGGCTTAAGATACCTATTTATCATTACTCCTAAATCTCTCTCACACTCTGCTTCCACAATGGCATCGTTGTTCATCTGGGATCTGGTTCCCTATTTACATCTCCTATACTGAGTACTTTACATTTGTCCACATTGAATTTCATCTGCCATTTTTCAGACCATTCGAAAAAGTTGTGTAGATCTTCTTGTAGTTTTGCAGAGTCCTCGTCAGATTTAATTATACGTCCTATTTTAGTGTCATCAGCAAATTTACTTATGTTGCTGTCTATGCCGATATCTATGTCGTTTATGTATATAATAAATAATAATGGTCCAAGTACTGAGCCTTGCGGAACTCCACTAGTGACGTTGCTCCAATGTGATTTAGTGCGGTTTATGCTCACTCGCTGTTTCCTGTCCCGTAACCACGCCCTAATGAATTTAAGGATATTACCTTTGATGCCATGCGCTTCTACCTTTCTAATTAGTCTTTCGTGGGGGACTCTGTTGAAGGCTTTGCTAAAGTCGAGATATACCACATCATAATTGTGCCCCTCGTCCACCGATTCGAAAACTGATGAAAAGAATGTTAATAGATTAGTTAGACATGAACGCCCGCTTGTGAAGCCATGTTGGGAATCATTGATCAACTTGTGCTTCTCCAGGTGGTTTCGAATAGAGTTTGAAATAATTGATTCTAGTAATTTACCTACTGTTGATGTTAGACTGATTGGGCGGTAGTTAGAGGATAGTGATCTATTCCCTGTTTGAAAATCGGTATTACACTTGCTATCCTCCAGGATTCTGGTACTACACCTGTTTTTAATGACATGTTAAACAGCTTTACTAATGGCATACTAAGCTCTTCCTTACATTCCTTTAATACTCTGGCAAATATCTCATCGGGACCAGGTGACTTATTAGGCTTCAGTTTGTCTATTTGCTTATTAACATCGTTACTAGTCACTACTATCTTGCTTAATTTGTTTTCTTCACTATCTCTGAACAGAGTCGGTGCCTCGGGTATCATGTTTAAATTTTCGGTGGTGAAAACTGTAGAAAAATATTTATTCAGATTATTGCTCATTTCTCCGTCGTTATCAGTTAGCTCGCCGGTATCTGAATGTATTGGTCCAATCTTATCTCGTGTTTTAGTTTGATACATTTGGTAGAATCCTTTGGGGTTTGTTTTCGCCTCCCCAGCTATCTTCAGTTCATAGTTCCTCTTCGCTTTTCTTATCTCTGTCTTAGCCCTCCCTACAGGCCAGTACCTTATAATACTCCCGGAGGTAAATTTCACATGATTTATCCTTCTACCTATAGCCCTTCTTTGGCCAATAATGCTCTTTGAATACATATTTATCCATTTAGGGTCATTGTTGTCTGATCTGAGTTTTTTGTATGGTATGTTCTGCCTTTGTGTATTAAGTAACTCATTATTTAAATTGTCGTGAACTCGGCAATCTCAGATCTCGTTATCAGGTCGGTGTCATCTGTCAGGCTCGAACCCAAGCGTGACATCCCCTCTCTTAGCTGTCTCTTTAAACTATCAAAGTCTGCCCTTCTGAAATCTGGGACATTAATGGAATTCCCTTTACGTCTGACCTGAAAATCTAACTGGAATCTAATTTTTTTGTGATCGCTGTTTGCAAGTTCGTTCCCTACCTCGACATTGCTAATGAGGTTTTCTCTGTTCGACAGAACTAAATCGAGTATATTATTACCCCGGTTGGGTTCGGTTATATGTTGACTTAGGAAGCAGTCCTGGATCGTTTCGAGGAAATCCTCTGATACTGAGTTACCCGGAAGGTCATTCCAATCTATTTGGCCATTGTTAAAATCGTCTACTATACAGACTTTGTTGTGTATGGAAGCCCTGCGCATTTCATCCCAGATAAGTCGCTCATTAACTCTATCAAGGTTGGGAGGTCTATATATTACTCCTATGATTAATTTTTCCATACCGTCGATTAATTCTATCCAAATTGTTTCTGTATTCCGCTCAGTTTTTATTTCCCTATTTATTTCGCACTTCAGGTTATCCCTGACATAGATGGCTACTCCGCCTCCTTTCCTGAAAGGCCTATCGGTATGGAACAATTTCTAATCCGCAACTTGGTATTCGACAGGTAACTCACGTGAGTCTAGGTTGATCCATGTTTCAGTGAATGCTATTATATCGATTTTTTCGGTACATACCAAGGCCCTAATATCATCCATTTTGTTTCTCATACTTCTACTGTTCGCGTAGTAGACATTTAAGTTAGTCGTGTTCCGAGTCCTCCCTTTACCGCGTTTAGTTTTAAACTCCCTGTCTAATGTAGTTTTGTCATCATTCCTAACATTATTTCCCTGTAATCTTTCACATTGTTTACCCGCTCCCACTGCAGTCTCCTCCACCCCTGTGTCCATATGTTCCCCTAGCAGTTTAAAGACTTCGATATCTTTTGAACTGGCCCCTCTAGCCAGGGTTGCCACCCCATCCCGAGACAGGTGTACCCCATCCCTAGCATAAAGGTCCCTTCTGCCGTAGAAGTTGTCCCAGTTGTCAATGAATGGGACTGATATTGACTTGCAATATCCGTCAAGACGGCCGATGACACCAACTGCCCTTGACAACCATTCATTGCCAACTCTCCTTCTAGGCAGGACACCACATATGCTAGAGATTCCTCCCTTAGTCCTAATACGATCTATAGCTGCCTTGAACTTATCAAGAAGCTCCTCACTCCTACACCGGCCAATATCATTGCCTCCTGCACTGAGGCAGATAATGGGTTTGTTCCCATTACCAGACAAGATATTGTCCCTCCTGTCAATTATATCCCCCACCCCAGCTCCTGGCAAACACACCCTCATCCTATTTTTATTTTTACCACAAAAGGCTCTGTCCAAGTACCTTACCTGTGAGTCACCAACAATTAAAGTTTTTATACCTTACTTGTAGGAAGTTAGTTGTTGTTCCTTTAATGTGTGGGAAGATAGTTGTTGTTACTTGAATATGTAGGAAGTTAGTTGTTGTTACTTGAATGTGTGGGAAGATGGTTGCTGTTACTTGAATGTGTGGGAAGATAGTTGTTGTTCCTTTAATGTGTGGGAAGATAGTTGTTGTTACTTGAATATGTAGGAAGTTAGTTGTTGTTACTTGAATATGTGGAAAGCTAGTTGTTGTTACTTGAATATGCGGGAAGATAGTTGCTCTTAGTTGAATGTGTGGGAAGGTAGTTGCTGTTATTTGAATGTGTGAGAAGATAGTTGTTGTTACTTGAATGTGTGGAAAGATGGTTGCTGTTACTTGAATGTGTGGGAAGATAGTTGTTGTTACTTGAATGTGTAAGAAGATAGTTGTTGTTACTTGAATGTGTGGGAAGATAGTTTCTGTTACTTGAATGTGTGGGAAGATTGTTTTTGTTACTTCAATGCGTGGGAAGTTAGTTGTCGTTACTTGAAAGTGTGGAAAGATAGTTGTTGTTACTTGAATATGTGGAAAGCTAGTTGTTGTTACTTGAATATGCGGGAAGATAGTTGCTCTTAGTTGAATGTGTGGGAAGGTAGTTGCTGTTATTTGAATGTGTGAGAAGATAGTTGTTGTTACTTGAATGTGTGAGAAGATAGTTCTTGTTACTTGAATGTGTGGGAAGATAGTTGTTGTTACTTGAATGTGTAAGAAGATAGTTGTTGTTACTTGAATGTGTGGGAAGATAGTTTCTGTTACTTGAATGTGTGGGAAGATTGTTTTTGTTACTTCAATGCGTGGGAAGTTAGTTGTCGTTACTTGAAAGTGTGGAAAGATAGTTGTTGTTACTTGAATGTGTGGGAAGATAATTGTTGTTACTTGAATGTGTGGGAAGATAGTTGTTACTTGAATGTGTGGGAAGGTAATTGCTGTTAATTGAATGTGTGTGAAGTAGATGTTGTTACTTGAATGTGTGGGAAGATAGTTGTTGTTACTTGAATATGTAGGAAGTTATTTGTTGTTACTTGAATATGTGGAAAGCTAGTTGTTGTTACTTGAATATGCGGGAAGATAGTTGTTGTTACTTGAATGTGTGGGGGGATAGTTGTTGTTACTTGAATGTGTGGGAAGGTAATTGTTGTTACCTGAATGTGTGGGAAGATGGTTGTTGTTACTTGAATGTGTGGGGGGATAGTTGTTGTTACTTGAATGTGTGGGAAGGTAATTGTTGTTACTTGAATGTGTGGGAAGCTGGTTGCTGTTACTTGAATGTGTGGGAAGACAGTTGTTGTTACTTGAATGTGTGAGAAGATAGTTGTTGTTACTTGAATGTGTGAGAAGATAGTTGTTGTGACTTGAATGTGTGGGAAGATAATTGTTGTTACTTGAATGTGTGGGAAGATAGTTGTTGTTACTTGATTGTGTGGGAAGCTAGTTGCTGTTACTTGAATGTGTTGGAACATAGTAGTTGTTACTTGAATTTGTGAGAAAATAGTTGTTGTTACTTGAATGTTTGGGAAGTTAGTTGTTGTTACTTGAATATCTGGGAAGATAATTGTTGTTTCTTTAATGTGTGAGAAGATAGTCGTTGTTACGTGAATTTGTGGGAAGGTTTTTGTTGTTACTTGAATATGTGGGAAGATAATTATTGTTCCTTGATTGTATGGGAAGACAGTTGTTACTTGAATGCTATCCTAACTGTTACTTATTTATTTTACAGAATAAGGAAAGACTTTTGGTATTACTTGACTTCTACATCATATTCTCTCTCTCTCACCTGACAGCACACACCCTCCTGCTGATTTCCATCTCTATGTTACAGGTCCTGGCCTCGGTGTCGTTGTTGGGGTACCCCGGGTTCCTGAAGTACACCTGGTGGGAGGTGGTCGCTTGGCCGCAGGTCTTGTCCACTGTGAAGAGTTAGGAATGGAGTAGAGAAGTTAGGGAGAGAGTAGATACGATAGGGATGGAATAGGGGAGTTAGGGAAGGAGAAGCAGAGTTAGGAGGAAGTTTGGGAGTAACACACACACACACACACAGCACCCACCGTACCTCTACCCCAAACACACACACACACACACACTACTACTACTATACTACTACTACTACTACTTTTTTTTTTCGAACGTGGCCTCCAGCCTCCCCCAATAGCCACACCTTCGCTGCCATTTTATTACCTTAATATTATATATCCTAATACATAAGTAGCTATCCTATCTGTGTTAAATTAGTTGAGCCGCAGATCTATGCAGATCAATATCTGCAGCAGTTGTCGGAGTTTGGGCAGAAGCTCTCGTTCCCCTAAGGCAGAGCAAAGCCGACCGAAGGAGAGAGAAAGACAGTCGACATCTCATCCAGGCTGTAACATAACTTCTGGGCTGCTGCTTCTGTTCGGAGATCACCTCCGCGAGTCTGGCGTAGAAACATCTTGCACTTGGGCCCATCCCACCAGAGGTTGTGAACACTAGAGGAGTAAAGCTGCCTTGATCAACGTTTTGAATTCTCTCCCCATATGCCCTTCTCTTGTCGTTCTCGTTCCTCCTGTGTGCAGCATCGAGAGCTAGGTTATGGTAACATGCGGCCATGGGATCAAAAATCCTGATGTCGAAGAAAGCTCGCTGTCCCCGCATCCAGAATCTCGAGCACTGACGTCAACACGGGCTTCATTAGATGTGTTTGAAGTCCTATGTTGGAAGATCTCACCATCCAAAGGAAGGAGGGTCGGTTCTACCATGACATCCCGGCAGATTTCCTTCAACATATTTGCTGTGAGGTCCCTTACTTCGTCATGCCTCATGCATATGAAGCCCCCTTTCTTGCACACCATGGCTTGAACGGCGTCATAGGAAGAGCCACACACGCATTGGGAGGGCAAACCTTCTACTGGCCGACCGTACCTTAGAGCAATGGCATCTGTAAATTCTTGTTTATTGAGACTGAAACCATTTGCCCTTATCGGTAACGTAGTTAACCAGTTCGAGGCGCCCACCTCCTGCGCTATAGCTACTTTTTTTTTCTGGTACCTGCAGCAACAGTTGCTACAGCTTATCATTTTGGCAGAGCTGTCGTTCTGTCGTAATGGACTTACGAATCTTGTTTACTTCACTGGCATCCACCTCCCCTGTTGCGTTCTGGGCTATTATGTGGTCCGTGAGGGCTGCCGTGAGCTTAAGTGAATTTTGATGTTCGGTGGCTGCTATCAACTCTGGATTGATTAGTCCCATCCCTCCCAGTCTTGTTGGAAGTGCAAGAAGTGATCTTTCTGCTGGGGTTAAGGAGGGGTCCGATATCAGGGATAGTACGCATCAGGTAGTTCCAACGATGCTTGACTCCATGGGTGAATGCAGCAAAAGCCGCTTGTGGCTCTGTGTTAGCAATCTCAGACAGAGCTTGGATTTCACTAACCCACTAATTCACCTTTCCAGCTACGTATTCGGTCTTGAAGTCCGTAGTGCCAATTACTGCGCCTAGATGTCTTTGGCTGTCCTTAGTTATTTTGACCTCACTTCCGCCAAACACCTCCATTGCCCGTTCATGATGTTCTGACTTCACGATTAGGAAGGAATGGCTGGCGTTTGGGTGGTACCCTATTTGTGGACCTCGCGATGTTACCAAGTCCCACCACTTTTTGATGCCCTCCACTTTTCCTGCTCCTGTAAGGTCATCAGCATACGCCACTTGTTTGACCCCAGTTGTTTCAAATTTTATTTCTTGTTGGAGCACTGATAGGCCTATTGCACACATTGCCATTGCAACAGGGTCCCCCTGTGTTGTTCCCTCGGTTGACTGTAAGATGGTATCACCTCTTAGCGCGTTGTTGTTTACTATATAGAGGTCTGATGGATTCCTATACGAGTTTTCAACATACATTGCAAAGCTTGGACACTTGATCTTGATGTTGTGCAGTGCAGCCTTGTGGTTAAGTATATTGAAGGCGTTTGTAGCACCCACCAGGAGAACGGCCTCACACTCGCGCTCCTCAAATATCAATCTCATGGCGTGAAGGCGGCCTCCCCGCCAGCCTGGTGGCCAGCACACAACTGTAGATTCCCTGCTGCTGCCCTGACATCATCCTTTACCACCTCCATTATGCATTTTCCGATGATCCGCCTCAGCACTTCCCCCACCCCTATAGGCCTACATCCTGGATTCTTTTCCAGAGGAATGAGGCGGCAGGCCGTCAGGGCCTGGAGGTGATGGCAGCAAGAGGATGCCAGCTTTCTTGCAAGGACGGCAATGGCAGTGCAGAGATCGCTTGCTACAGGGCCAAACTTGTTTGTGCTGAGGATGACTCTCCAACCGTTTGCATCCATACCTGAAGGGCCGGCTCCTCCTCGAGTCTTCAGTGCCTTTTTCCACACCATCTCTCCTGTTTGGTGGGATATAGTCACCCTCGAACCTGATACCTTCTTCATCACTTGTATCTCTGTTTATTGGCATAACCCCACCGGAGGATTCCTCTGTGAGAGATCTTGCCGCCAGAGACACTTTTCCCACACGCATTTTGTTTCCAAAATTTCTTGCCACGTCATCGGTGTTTTGCTTTCCGTCACCCGTAATTTTTAGTCTCTCCTGCAGTGTTCTTGCTTCACATAGGAGATCAGCAAGGGCACCAGTCTGCCACATTGCCAATCTTCTCTTCACTGCTGCCACATTTTCTTTGTGCTTAGTCTTTGTGTGTGTCCTCTGACAAAATAGATGTGGTATTATTGCCAGAATTTGAAGAGCTAAAGGGGCGAGGAAGCGGTCATGAGTGTAATCAGTCATGAGGCGAGTCATCTCCCGAATCATTTCTTTGGTGGCCGCACACTTGGGTGGTTCAAATAGGTTAGCGGGCGACCACCTGACAATTTCTGAGTAGGTTTCTTTAACCCATATGTTTGCATTTTCCATCGACATTCCATTCCACTGAGGTGGCTGTCTGTCATTCTCCTCGTGGACGTCTGCTACTGAGGGAGCAGCATTTATTAGTACTACATTTTCGGGTTGAGTAGACTCACTGCTATCATTTAGGATATCATCGAGCGGTTGGGTCCCTGCGATATCCACTGTGGCCACCTGTGTCGGTTCCCTGCGGCATGGGTTCCGACAATGGTCACCCTTTCTGCAATTCACACATGGTCGATTGTTTCTCGCACATTCAAAATTTGTGCAGTTTTGGTTCTGGCTAGCACAGACGCTGCAATGTCTGTTACCAGGCATAGTGAACAGCACCTTGGGCGATAGATACTTCCTCCTCCGACCTCTGCTTTGGTCCCATACAGACGAAGAAACTGGTTATTATAAGTAAAGGGCAGAGAGGTGACGGGCTGGCCTGCGGTGTCCGGGTAGTAGGGGCATACGCGCGCGCGCGGTTGTGTCGGGCACCCCCCATGTGGGCGACAATCCACACATCAGAATGATCCACTGGGAGCAAGAATTGTCACACCTAACACTTGTTTATGTATCCTTGGCAGAGATAACCACTATTTCTATGATCTCACTGATGTAATATTAGTTTTATATACTCACTTGGTCAGTCGACACTACATGAAGTGGCCTTTACTTGAGGTGGGGGGGCAGGGGGCGACCGCCAGCGCAAGGCACTTGGCCCCAGAGGGGCGAGAGTCGCGATGCCACCCCTGCTCAAGTAGGCCTATCGACACACTGGCACTGACACTTAGCAACTACAGACGCTGTCCATTCAAATACTCACAGGCTCACTTGAAGATCGCCGGTGAACACATGCAATATTTGCGTTTAATGCCATAAGGGATGAGAAAAGCCGTCGGCGACGATGCTCAAGGTGACATCCAATATTCATCGACACACTGTGAAATTCTCGCTCCTTTCGATGGTGAGCTCTGAGGTGACTCGAGAGGCCTATACGGACCGGCAGGTTCGTCCACAGATTTTGCACGTGTGAAGGGCTACATCTAGTGCGGAAGGGGCGGTGCAAGCGTCTTTCCGACGCTGGCGCTTGCCTGCCTCAGTATGCAGTCGGTGTAACTCGAATTCAATGACACCTTCTTGTGTGGGGCTCCTCCAAGTGTTACGGTGTGGACTGATCATCTCCCATGCGAGGAGGTCGATTTGTCACCTTTTCCGTTGCCCACCAGCGTTACGTTTACTATTCATTTGGTGACTGTAAAGTAGCTGCTCTGGCAGTGTACTGTCGTCCATGCGGGTCACATAGCCAGTCCAACGTAATTGTTCATGGATAATGGCAGCCTCGATGCTCCTATAGTTGGTATCATCGAGAATACTGGCATTTTTCTCTTGTCTTACCAGTGAACTCGGAGGACGGAACATAAACTACGTTGGTGAAAGATTTTAAGTGCCTTGAGGTGCCTCCTGTTAGTGCCATACATCATGGTGGGGAGGACCACTGCTCGATATACGTACAACTTTGCAGATCATTTCACTTGAAGACACGGGCACGGAGTCTGCCAAAGGCTTGAGATATACATCTGATCCGATGTTAAATCTCTTCATAGATGTCCGTGGTTGTGGACAGGTGGGAGCCAAGGTACTGAAAGTGGGTAACATTAAAGTGTGTAATACCTTGAACCTGGATGGATTGCGGAGTTGTAGTTGAACCAGGGACAGGCTGAAAGAGAATCTGAGTCTTATGTACATTCACCTCAAGGCCGATGTGTTCGTACGTATCCGTGTAGGTGTTCGGGATCTCCTGTAGGTCGCATTCAGTTTGCGCCCGCTTGGCGTAATCTTATATCGAAGAGGCCCTTCAACCGGTATTGGATGTCCACCCCTGCACTTTTCCTGTATCTGGCGGGCAACACAGATCATGTCAGTTGTGACACATGATGGACTAAAGCCACATCGAGATTCTGGGAGGAATTTTTCTCCTTAAGAAGTCTGTTTAGGAGGACTCGGACGATAATCTTGCCAGCTATGGACAGCAGCGAT